GGCCTTTAGGAGGGATGGAGGACTTGACACGGGGTTCACATTGTGACCGACACCGGCTGACGCTGGCAAGCCAAGCCGGATTCTGTAAGAATTAATTGCATGTCACTTTCAGGTACAGCGTACAAGGCCAGTGTGTTTTTTCACATGTGTGTTACTTTTCCAGATTTGGGGCAGATGAACAATCTTAAAACAGAGCCGTTTTTTTCCCCTTACTGAAGAGTCGACTCCCATGGACTCAGGAACACAGTTTCTTTCAGTGTGATTAAAAATAGATAATCTATTGATTTTGAAAGAGCAATAGTGTTTTATACTGCCCTAACACACACCGCTTACACCCTTTAAAATCAAATAAAACACAACAAAACCAAAACGTCCAGTCAAGAAGTCTGATAATGGACTAAAACAATGAATTGGTGATCAAAATCATTGCAGATCGTTGAAATACCTCGTAAGTAGCACCATGAACTATCCTTGCATTTTGGGTTTCTTAAAAAATGTTCTCTCAGTGACAATTGTTAACTCTACATCTGGAGAAATTGACAAAACTTAGTTATAAAAAAATATGGCAACCACTAACGGATGCAGTTAATTTCCCTCAACCTGCCTGTATCCTAGCAGCTGATGCTTTAGTATTTTATCTCCGGGCTCGACAAGACAAGCTCTTGTAACGGAGTGATCGCTCAAGCATAGAGTAAATAACGTGAGGCCATAAAGGTCAGACGACGTCTCTTTCTTTCTTTCATCCGTGGAAGGGACCTGTCCTGTGATCGTTAGAGCTCCATAAGGCGTCCTCGCAACTCCTTGAAACAAAGGGCTGAAAGTTGGTCTCTTTAGACTTTTCACAACACCTCATACTATTTTTCTGTTTCTTTCACCAAAAAGGCTTCAGGCTGGCACAGTTACAGCGACAATATGTGCGTTCATACACATGGACACACACACACACCAAAAGCTGTGAGCATGACGACTGCCGGTTCCAACTGTGAGAGTATTTCACAGCCCCGACGAGGGCTGTAATGTGCAATATGCTCACTTGTTCAGTCACCCTCTTGCTGTCTTTTTTCGCTCTTAATCTCTCTCCTTCCCTCTCCCTCTCTATGTGTCCTTCACCCCGGCATCTGTTGACGTCCTTCTAGCTCCCGGGGCCTCAATCTGTCAAAAAGGGCCTCTCCGCTGCCACTCTGTTGCCATCTCCTGGTGATCCATTTGTGCTCTACAGGTGGCGCCGAGCTCTGCTCAGGGACAAACTCCTTTATTGCCACTAGAGTAAAGAGCGTGAGAGGTTGTCAGTGGTGGAAATGGTCCACATGTCTTCTGCTATATCTGGTAAACAGTGTATGTTTTTAAACAGGGATGCTGTAGAGGTCTTTCTGGACAAATAACTGATCTATCTGAATATTTTCACATGTTCATCCACACTGGAGCCTAAAAATGATTCTCGTTTGATTGAGTATGCATGGATAAAGAAAATGAGGATGGTTATGTTGTCAAATGTTGATGTCATATTTTTATTTTTTATTTTTTTTTGATCCAAGATGGCGCCGTTGATGGCCGCCTCGGTGCTTCGGTGCGCTTCGTTTTTTGTTGTTTTTGTTGTTAATTATGTTTCCTGCTGCGATTCCCGGAGCTCTTTCACCAGAGATGAGCTCTTGAACATCCGTGGAACAACTCCAGCGGAGTTACTTCCAACTTTCCTGCTTTCTTCCGTGGAATTACTGGACATTCTAGTCAAAGGTGCGCTCACCTTTCGTCACGCGGTGAGACGCCGTAGGAGAGGAAAACGGGCCGGCTCGCTGGTGAGACTCCGCAGGCGTGGTTCTCGCACTCCGCTGCCGGGCATCTTTCTCTTCAACGTGCGCTCACTGTGCAACAAACTGGACGAAATTCAGCTGCTGATGAGGAGAGACAGAGACTTCTCTACATCCTCCGTCTTGTGCTTCACGGAGACGTGGCTCTGCGGATCGATACCGGACTCCGCGCTCCAGCTGGCGGGCTTCCAGCTGCTCCGAGCGGACCGCGACACGGAGATCTCCGGCAAGACGAAGGGTGGAGGAATCTGCTTCTACTTCAACAACAGCTGGTGCAACGACGTAACGGTGATCCTAAAACACTGTTCTCCTGATCTGGAAACTTTTTTCATCCACTGCAAACCCTTTTATTCCCCCCGTGAGTTCGCTTCATTCATCCTGGTCGGTGTGCACGAGGCACAGCGGACACTCGCCGACCAGATACGGCGTGTGGAGCGGACCAACCCGGACTCTTTAGTTATTGTCCTCGGGGACTTTAACAAAGGAAATCTCACCCATGAACTCCCTAAATACGGACAGTTTATTAAATGCCCCACCAGAGAGGAGAACACGCTGGATCACTGTTACACCACAGTAAGCAGGGCTTATCACGCCGTCCCCCGTGCTGCACTGGGACACTCTGACCACGTCATGGTCCATCTGATTCCTGCATACAGGCAGAAACTAAAGCTCTGCAAACCTGTGGTGAGGGAATTCAAGAAGTGGACCAGTGAGGCGCTGGAGGATCTTCGGGCGTGCTTTGACTGCACAGACTGGGATGGTTTCAGGACTGCTACTGACAGTCTGGATGAGTTCACAGAGGCTGTAACTTCCTACATCAGCTTCTGTGAGGACAGCTGTGTACCATCATGCACCAGGGTGAGTTACAACAACGACAAACCCTGGTTCACAGCGGAACTCAGAACACTACGCCTGCAGAAGGATCAGGCATTTAGGAGCGGGGACAAAGACTTGTACACAGAGGCAAAATACAAGTTTAGCAAGGCGGTGAGAGACGCTAAACGACTGTACTCTGAGAAACTCCAACAACAGTTCTCAGCAAGTGACTCTGCTTCGGTTTGGAGAGGCCTCAAACACCTCACCAACTACAAGCCAAAAACCCCCCACTCCATGAATGACCTCCGCCTGGCAGACGAGCTCAATGAGTTCTACTGCAGATTTGAAAGACAATGTCCTGTTCCCATCCCCCACAGCTCCACCAACCTGCTGCAGTCCCCCTCCCCTCCCTCCCCCAGCCCATCAGGTGCTCACGCCTCTTCATCATTATCACCTTCCCCTCCCCCACCAGCAACGACCCTCTCTATTCTGGAGAGAGACGTTAACCGGCTCTTTAGAAGACTAAATCCCCGTAAGGCAGCCGGTCCGGACTCCGTTTCCCCTCACTCCCTGAAGCATTGTGCTGACCAGCTGTCTCCGGTGTTCACTGACATCTTCAACACCTCCCTGGAGACATGCCACGTACCAGCCTGCTTCAAGGCCTCCACCATCATCCCTGTCCCCAAGAAGCCCAGGATCACAGGACTCATCCGCTCTGCAGAGAGGGTGATCGGCTGCAATCTGCCGTCCCTGGAGGACTTGTTCGCTTCCAGGTCTCTGAAGCGAGCTAAAAAGATCGCGGCCGACCCCTCCCACCCCGGACATAAACTGTTTGTGCCCCTTCCATCTGGCAGGAGGCTGAGGTCCATCAGGACTACGACCTCCCGCCACACGAACAGTTTCTTCCCGTCGGCAGTCGGGCTCATCAACAGAGCCCGGTCCCCCACTGCCTGACTATAACACTCCACCGGTCACTCCCCCTCACACTGCACATGCCACTTTAACTGCAATTCATCACTTTGTCACTTGTCACTTTGTCTCTTGTCTGTTACTTGTTTGTTAGTGCACTTTATGCTTAATACTTTTCTTTTTAACTTTTTAATATTTAAAATTTGTTTAACTTTATTCCCTTGTTTTTTTACTAACCCGTAGCCTTAGCCTTATTCTTACTAATCCATTGCATTAGCATTTCATTCCACTTTATTTTATTACCTGTGCACTGTTGTCTTGTCTGTCTACTGTCGCGCACTAACCGCCAAGACAAATTCCTTGTATGTTTGACATATTTTGGCCAATAAATGTTTCCTGATTCCTGATTCCTGATTCCATATACAACATTTGCGTCTGATTGGTCATTTACTTCTGAAAATGACCAAACGCATCAAATGGACAGTTCTTCCTTCCGTCCTTAAGTTACTTGACGGCTGGAAGAATAGCAGAGTTTCTCGTTTCTCTTCTCCACCTCTGACCAGTCAGCTCCACTCGGTCGAGGGTTTTGGGCAGATGGTGTCGTATTTAGTGTGTATAATGTGCAGCCCTTTGATATAAATGTTTGGGGGCCGAACAAATAAATCTGACTTGTACTACAGCATTTTGTTATTGCTCTGCCACACGGATGAGGGACTCACTGGACACATACTAAAAAAGGACATCGCTTTTAATCTGTAGTGGGACTCAGGCCCCATAAAATGTTGGATTTCCCTTGGTGCAATTTAATAGCATCTTTTAATTTAAACGGCCAACTTTAAACTTTAAACTCTAAGATATTCCTTTTTCAAAACCCTCTTCATAGCAACAGAAGACATTATTATTATAACTGGTTTCCAAGTCTATCTCATTTCAAGATTGCCTGAAGTACAAATAATTGACACAAATGCAACATTCCTCTATAGAAACTTACATAATCTGGATAGTTGATGAAACATACAGATAATAAAGTTTATGCCCTTTTTCATCATCTTAGTTGTAATGTGATGACAATGTGAAATTCTAAATCCATTGTATGAAACAAAAATCAACGGCAGACAGCTTGCACACTAAAATCCCAACATACTAAAGGAATGCATCATTTGCTACCCCCAAATAGTTTGTCCTGTGATCTTTAATTCCTGAATGTATCCTTACTTAATTTTGTGTAGAAGTTGTACGTGCCGTTTTGTTACAAGGCGGCATCTGGCAAACTGTCATGTTTTTACTGAACAAACTTCCAAATAACGACGTAATGAAAATAACAGATTTCTATTCACACCAGCTTGCCAGGTAAGTTGACCTTTGGGTATATCGCCCCCGGAAACGTACTAAGTCACCTGAACACTGTGAAGTCAGTCTCCATAGATTGTGTCAAATTGAAATTAAGGGAGCGATTGTGTTTTTCAGGTCTTTGCCGATTCAATATTCCACTTGGTGAGGGAGAAGTACCGGTCGCTGGTGGGCGGCTGCAGTCCTGCGCACGCTCGACACAAATCCCTGGCAGGCATCGTAATGACCCGAGGTATGGCAAATTTCATTGACTTTTATATATATCACTTTGAATTATTGAAGTGGTGCAATATAGGGTGAGTGAGGCTGGTGGAAAAAAAAAGTTGGATGTGGGAGGAGAAATAAGAAGATGGAGTTCTAGATTGTCAGGGAAATGATGAGCTCAAGGTGGGGAGGAGAGAGAGAGAGTCTCCAATCCTTGCTGTACCTCGCAGTGGTGCAGGAGAATATACTTTCCTGATGAATTATTGACTATTCAGAGTCTCTGAGGAGAATGCAACAGGGTAGTGTGTGTGTGTCAGTCATCCCTGCTGCATGTTGGCCGTGCTGTGCTCAGGCAGCTCTGACAGGAGTTCCAGATGCCACAGCGGGAGTCTTAACTATCAGCCCAAAACTTAATCTGAAACCCGACCGAGTGACACACTTAGGGAACAGTGAGGAGGAGGAAGCTTCCCACTGGTGTTCTCCTGCAGCGTGAAACAGCTCTTGTTATTACCACACATTGGTTACGTCAGGGCCGCCCACGCATTCGCACGTGCACATACAAACACTGACCCACACATTAGAAACCTTGAGTCACTCCACATCGCCCATCAAACAATATGCTCACTATATATACTGTAAAGCTCCAAATCCTCTCATGGGAAATATGAACAAAAGAAACTGTTTATTGATATTGACATTGTTGCGAATAATGGCTGGAGAAGAGATTTAGTGAATGGACGACGCTTCTCAGGGCAGCGTTGAGCATGTTGGTGCAGGTAAAGAAAGCGTGGCTCAGGGACGCTTTGCTGCTGAGGCAGCACCACTCACATGCAGACCCTTTAAACTACACTAAATCATATTGAAACAATTGTTCTTACTTCCACGGTAAGACATATTAAGTCACATTTGTGCATGCAATAATGTCTCATCAGATGACGTTGCTAACTGGCTCTTTGTAAGACTGGTGGAACTGGATATGCTGCGATAGTTGTTTAACAACTGATGTCGTTTGGCAGTCGATACAATACATGTGTGTTGTCTGGTCATGTAGCTTAATACGACCAACATTTGGCACATTACAAAAACCGTAAATTTGAGATATGAAAACAAAACTAGAATCAGCAAATGAAGCAGCTTTGTTAGGTAGAAAGACGTAGCGTCTAAGTAAAACTACAAAACATGGAGCCTTCATTCTTTGTGGGTTTTGATACAAAGAGGAGCATTGACACACAGACGTTGACAGGTCTGCCCAGGTGGAGTCCTGACGCACACACTCACAGATGAGTGTTATCTCCCTGTGGGGGAGCAGGGGGTCAGTGAGGAGGGATGGATATCTCTGGTGTCTTTGGAGGACTGCAGCTCATCAGTTTATACTTCAGTGAGACCGGCACTCATCCTGACCTAATCCAATCCCCCTCCTCCCCTCTGCCTCCCGGTAATTGCTTCTGTTTGTTTATTAATAGCGCGCGTTATCTTCAGAGATCCAGACGTAGGGCTGCCAAGTATTCGCGGTGGCGCGGCGGCAGCAGCGGCGCTGTGGCGGCCAGCGCTCATGCAGTTAGACACCAAACTTGACAGGAACACTGGGGAGTCCTGTTCCGATTCCATCTCCCCCCCCCCCACCCTCTCGCTCTCTCATTCTTTCTGTGTGTCATGCCTCTGCCTTTGCCTCGAGATTATTAATCAGAGTCCATCTTTGAACCGCAGGCGGACAGCGAAAACCCCCCCCCCCCACCCATGCCGGATTCCCGCCGAGACATTTGAGCCCCAACCTGAGCGAGATTAGCCTTGAGACGGACGGGCAAAATCAACCGCCAGCACACGTTGTCAAATAGTGTGGAAAATCTCATTTGAATCGATTTCAGATAGCATTGGGGTGTTTGGAGATGGTAAACAGTGTTCAGATGTGCTCAGAGACATGAAAAATTGCGAAACGTCCAAATGGAAAATGCTTGAAAAGACCCCCCTCCCCTCCTCCTGCTTTTTTTTTCACTTGTTTGTTGGATGGGATGAGAGAAGCTTTTTCTGAGGCTTTTTTTATTCAGCAGAGTGATGCGACTCAGAGTGAAGAAAAATACCACGGGGACTCAAAGAAAGAGATCAGAGCAAAGGGTTTCAAGCAAGTTGATTACAAATGACGACTAAGCTATGGTTCTTAGTCTGCATATCCATTTTTCAAACAGCGATTTTTCTCCACTCTTTATCTGGTTTTCCCGGCTGCCGCAGATTTGAATGTTCAATAATCACATCCGGCAACAAAACAGCTTGCTAAGAGGCACAAATATTAAGAGATGTGGGTGTGTTGAAGTAGAGACAGACCGAGAGAGAGAGAGAGAGCTCCAGCAGCACTTCACAAAGGCGTCCTTATGTGTTCAGAGCAGTTGCCTGTTAAAGCTAATACAGATTCAACAGGGTGCCGTCTCTGCTCTGCCAATCTTTTTCCACACCAAGTGAAGAGCATTTCAGAGATTTCTCTTATTCAAACGACACGCATTTGGTGACATTCACCGTAATCATCCAACATCTTGTGGTGAAAGAACACATGAAAGATGGGATTTATGGAGCTCAACGTAAATGGCATGAAATAAAGTTCATGAAAACGTGACCTTGAGATCTCATTCTGCTTTAGAAGACACTCTTTTGATATCTCCTTCATGGTGGTCAGAGATTATGAGAGGCTTGTAAGATTCTATTTTACCCTGTTTTATACTCATAGAGAATAAATGGATTCAGATGATAGCTTTGCTGTGTCTGTCTGTTGTAGTTGCCTCATGTAAAAATATATTACTGTAAATAAAAAACACTGTCAAGTCATAGTATGGATTTCTATTTTTGACTGGTGGTTCTTGATAAGCATTGGCTTTAAGGTCTTCTGAGCCATTTGTCCTCATCTATTTGTTGACTTGATCCCTATGTTGTAGGTTTCAGTAGCAGTGATTTCACAGCAGCTCAGTAATCAGCATTGACCAGAGGCCACCTCGCCAACGTGCAGAACTAGTGCTGAACCAGTGTTGTGTGGTGGGAGTAATGAAACATTCAGAAACACGCAAGTACACATTTCCTGGCGCTGTCTGATAAATAGGATGGCATTAGTGGAAAAAAGGAAAGCGGTTTAGCCAAATAATAACATTTTTAACTTGGTCTTTACTTTTCAAACCAGAAACGGAGGGGCGGTTGTAATGTCCCGCTTTGTTCAAGGACGCATGGGGTCCTATTCACTCGGCTCAGCGGCACAAAAAGCAATCAATGGCTCACAGTGCAGGTGTGCCAGGCCTTGATATGTGCCACAGTTGGGAGCACGGCCAGATTATATTTAGTCAAAAGTCTAGGCACAAGTCATTTCCTTTTTTTGAAAGCAGCGTGTCAGCATTGCCGCGGCACTCGACCCATTCTGTGATGGATGGACCAGTCCGGACTGGATCTGCCACAGGAGCCTCTCAAGGAGACAACCAGAATCCCCTTGGCTGGATTGAATGTAGACGCAGACTTAAACTCTGACTGACGCAGCCTCATATGGCTGGTAATGTCTCAGATATGATTTTTGCGCGTGTGTGTGTGTGTCCATCACTTGAGTTTTACTGCAATTTGCTCACACTTTTGACTCTGCACAAATGCCCTTTAATAATTGGCAGGAAAATTGCACTCCTTTGCTTGATTGTTACCACGCCCCCCTAACTTACTTCCCCCTCCACTTGGGTGCAGCCGAGTTATGGGGCAGCCATTGAAATTCTACATTAAACACAAGTGTGTCCGTCTGCTTGGTTGCCATAGTGAGCCGGTGTGCGCTTCGTCTTCCTGTTGGCTGCTGACAGTATTTCGCAGTAGTCATTGTGAGTAGTTCCAGGTGTCAGTGTGTGATGTACATGCATTTTGACGGTGCTGTTATCACGGGGTGTGACATCTTTGAATCACCAGTAACAGATGTATTTGTGTATGAAGAGTGCCTCGGGCCTTTGACTCCACTCTACCTTGTTCCTTTTGACCCTCTCTCTTTGTATTTCTGTGATGCAGCTGATTATTCCTGGTTTAAAAACAGCACACTGCCTGTGGGGCTCTCTATCTCCTCCATGTGTGTGTCTCTCTTTCTACTTGCCTCGCTCTCTCTCTCTCTCTTTTTCATTCATCTCTTCTCCTGCAAACTGAAGGCAACCTCAGTCCCCAATTTCATGGCAGGCTAGTGAGCAGCGCACCAGAAATTATCCACTGCAAAATGGATCTAAACAATCGCAAAGTGGAACGGCAAGGGAGAGCAGGAGAATGAAATTGTTTGAGTCTGTTACCTTTTAGAACTTGCTTTATCACCCAGAATGATTTGGGCTGCATTGCCTACAGGGAATGCCAATAGTTGAACTCATGATATAGAGATTCTGAAGGTGCTGCAACATAACACAATAAATATTGTATACTTTCTGTGCACGGTAGGTTTAACATGAATTTACTGCTCCTCCGTGAGGAATATTTACAAAAGAGCTGCTGAAAGATGTTCGTTTGATTGAAGTGTTGATAGAAATCATTATCTTAATGTGGACACATTTGACTAATCACTGCACACATGCACAGATGATGTGTGTGTATGTGTACATCATTCTGTTTGATTTATATGAAATACATCCCAGGCCTGAAAACAAATGTTGCAAGTGGACATTTCTTAAACTGTCTCTAATGTAGGTACAGTTTTACGCAGAATGAAAGATTTTTCTTTCATTAATTACACATTTTTTAATTATTTACCTGTGCATATAAATGTTGCTGTTGCAAAAAACTCCATATTTGCATATTAACAATGGATCCCATGACTACTAGCGTGTGAGAGATGCCGCTGGATGGATGGATGGCTGCTCCTCAGTCTCCTCACTCTACGGCAGTGGTTCTCAACTGGTCTGGCTCCAGGACCCACCATCACCAGCCCCCACCCAAATCAACTTCTCGAATTTATTTAATGAAAATATGGTGCAGTTTGAACCTGAGATAGTATGGAGACAGAATACGTATGCCAACACAAAAACAAGTTTAATGAAAAAACAAAACAGCCAGCTGTTAATTCTAATTTTTATTTTCCCTGGCAAAGGCCTGCGACCCACTAAAAACGGGTCCGACCCACTACTTGAGAATCACTGCTCTACGGAGCGTTGTAGCCCCTCTTATTGTTTTGGTTCACTGTGAACCGCTCTCAACAGTGTTGACAAAAAGCTAAAACAAAGTTACAATGGCATAGATACACAACAGCTGATGAACATAGTGGAGCATTTAGCAGCAGAAGAGACACGTATTTCTCCTTTAGTTTGTGGAAACCAGTTAATATTGGACATTCACTGAAGTAAGTTTGACTAAGTTTCATATCGCATTAATTAAGGTACATTGATTTGAACTTTTAAAAGTTCATATTTTTAAGGATAACTACTATTAAAAGTTCTCCTCTGTGGTTGTTAGAATAGAAGTTGAACTTATTCCACCTTCTTCTCTATGCTCTTTTGTAGCCCACACACATTCACACACACCGCACACATTCCACCCTCCCTTCACATTTTCCTCCTTTGCCCTCCTTCCTATTCCTCATCATTGGAGGTGTCAGGACTCCACTGCCGCAGTGCCATCTGGGCCGAGGCTGATAAAAGCTCATGTGCCGGGCCAGCGGTGCCTGCAGGTCTTCCGGAAGCCAGCGAAGCCTGACTTTGAGAGCCCATGGGAGAGATTTGTGGCAGTTAAAGAAGGAATGGCATGCCTTTAACCCTCCTCCGCACCACCTCTTTCCATCTGACAGTCCGCGGGGCTCTCACATGGCGCGGACCAGGCCAGAATCGTCACTGATTTCAAAGGAAAAGTCAAATCAACACATCACAGGATGACTTTGTGATCTGTGATATCATCTTGTCATGGCTTTTACTCCACGTCTCATGTTGAGAATGTTGCCACAGTGACCTCTTTAGAAGCTGCTGTCCAGACAGAACTAGATGGAACCGAGCGTCAGGGAGGCTAAAGCCCATCACCCGGTACCACCCGTTACCCTTTCAGCACATAGAACATACCAACTAAAAAGGCATCCATACAAACAGAGGAGAAAACATCCACCTTTCTGACAATTGAAAATACCTCAAGGTCAGCCAGTCCTTCTGGAACATAAAGTATATTTTTTACCCAGCAGCCCGTGTAGTGACAAACCATCCTACACTCACATAGAAAAAGCAGCAAGACCGATAGCCTTCTTTTATGTAGAGAGCAAGCCTGGCTCTCCGCTGGGTTTTCCATGCCTTTTGATTGGCTCACTTTAATTAATGTCATGGATACCTCCCAGTACACCACCTGCAGAGGACACACCAGGTCTGCCTCCCAGCGGATGAATCAGTATCTAGTCCTCCAAAGGCATTTGTAAAATGTACTGAGGCAGTAGAATAACTGCTTCTTCTTCTCTCTGTCATAAAAGACCCAAAGGACCCAAATTCTATACCTGTTTATATCAATAGCAATATTCAGCATCATCCATATTTGTAAATGATTAGCCCTTTAAAAACCACAATTACTCTCCAGTCCAAAGAGGATGGGTTGATCTGGCCGGTGGAGATCGTCTGACTGTGCCAGCCCAGTTCATAGGTGGAGGCTCTCTTTCCTCCTTCGCGCCTTGGATGCAGCTAATCCTGGCTGCTGTGGTGTGATAGGAGCTTCTGAAGAGACGCTTATCCATGCTACTCAGAGAGCTGTGGCTATGGAAATAACTCAAATGTATCCGCATCAGAATTACCTTTTTACTCGATTCTCTTTTGGTGTTGTTTTATTTACTTTATTTTCCCTTCGGGAGCAAAGTGTACTGTTCCCTCTTGTCTGATCAAGTTAGAGGCCGTCTTCAGTCTGTTTTCCCACCCATCGTTGCATTATATTCTCTTTACTCTATTTTAGTTTTACTTATATTTCCGTATCATTTCCTTTTAAATTGTATGCTACTTTACTCAAAAAAATACTTCCCATGACATGAAAATCTTTTATGCAAGTAGTGTTAAGCAGTGTGTGAAATACTGGCAACATACCCAACTAACTGACGTCCTACAAAGACTTAATACGCATTATACACGATTGTATGGATGCTGGCCATGGCAACATGGCTGAAAACACTTTGCAAAGATATCACTGGCCGATATGTGGCTGTGGCTGATGTCCTGCTTTCGGTTCGTACGAAAAGGAACCAAAAAGGATCCATTTTGTACAAAGAGGGATTGATTAACTCCTCAAACAGACATGGACACAGCCTGACGTCATGTGACCTGTTGCAGCTCTAGATGTGTTGTTTATCGCAAACTAAACTGTGTCTTGCGCTCACCATTTTTTCTTTCAAAAGACAGGTTAGGGACAGTTACAATTGACAAACTAGAAAATGCATTTCCTGATGAAAATGCGTTGGAAGGTGTTCCTATCCAAAGGTGATCCTCTGCTGGTATAAGGTATAAGGGCTATTCCAACGCATTTTCAGCAGGAAATGCATTTTCTAGTGCTTCTAGAGCATTCCAACAATAATTTGTCAAAATTCTGGGTTATGTGACTCCCTGAGACCCCTTGTGTTGCAGACACTAGTATCACCACATTTTGGCACAATTATAATGTTATGTTCATTCCTTTCTTCTTTTGGCCAACTTGACAATGTCTGAAAGTGGTAAAAATATATAATAAGTATATACATATATATATATATTCTTTTTTTTTCAAGCGGTGTAAGTCTGTTTTCATCCTGTGTTTTCTTCTCTCTTAATGATGACAAAATGCCTCCCCCAGATAGAACGCTGAGGGCGGGCATGCATTAGCAGGTTACTAATAAACTCTTGGATAAAGGACTCAATGGAACACATGACAAGCTAAATACGATGAACATTTGTCCGTCTGTCATTGTCCAACAGGTCTGGACCTGAGGCACGCCCAGGTGGTGGCGTTATCCACGGGTACCAAGTGTATCAACGGGGAGTACCTGAGTGACCAGGGACAAGTGGTCAATGACTGTCACGCCGAAGTCACGGCTCGCAGAGCGCTGCTACGCTTCCTTTACTCTCAACTGGAACTCTTCTTAAGGTAATAGATCCATCCTCGTCTTAAACATACACAACCATCCGTGCTGTCACGCACTTCCGGCAGCTTTGAAACCCCTGTAGCGTTTATGATCTTCTTCCCCTGAAAATGCCTTACGTCATGATACATTCAACCAGCGGTGGAAGAACAATATGGATCCTGTGCTAATGTAAAAGTAGCAATAAGACAGTGTAACAATACTCCCAATACACCATTTTTTATTATCACCAAAATGTACAAAACAATGCCCCTTTTGAAAGGAGAATGAGCAGATTATTCCTTTTATACAGTATAAAGCTGAAATCATTTGAAATAATAAAACACCCTCTTGCTCAGTTTAATACACCCAAGGGATTTAATGCTTAGCTGAAATAACACTGAGATAACACTGAAATGAAACCGCATTGTTTTATTTGTACAAATCTGCTCTGTAAATTCTGTGTCCTGCGTTCCCCTTTGAGAAGCCTTCTTTCTTCATTTTAGTTATTTTAAAATAAAGCTATGAATAATGCATTTAAAAACACTTCTTCAACTACAGGAAGAGATGAATTAATGTGGTGCTAGCTGGACTACAATTCTAGCACATTCTAGATAGATCTTAGTTAAATTACCGTTGGACTCCGCTTCATGAAAACAGCACTGTTGGGTCACAAGTTTTTCCAATGATGATCTAGCCGTATGGGTGCTGTTCTCTCCAACTAAGCATCACAAGCACTGGATCGCCTGTTGGTTTTTGACCCTTTTTTTAAATGTACCTTCATTGAGGCTCTTCACCACCTGTGCAGCGTCCTCTGGTGCCCACAAGCTCACCGTGATTTCAACCCGTATGAACAGACAGTCCTGATGCGTTTTGACTCCTGACTGCCTCCATTCCATGAGCGGATATTATGGTTTTGAGCTCCCGAAGGAGCTAGATGGCAACGCTGATTCACCAGATTAGTGGTTAGAAGTCTAGATCGTTGAATGTCATATTTGCATACACAGCACCGTCGTAACACAATGCTAGATGGCAGGTACAGAGACTTTGCAGCTGAGTAAAATGGCTAATGGGGAAGATAACTCATAATAAAATGACCAAACAAAATGCCAGAACTGCCATATTTAGGCTCAGTGAAAGGACATCGGAGACAGAGGAGAGGTTAAATAAAAAGGGCAGCCGTGCCTTGCATTGTGATGCATAGTTTAGGTACACCGAGAAATCCTCATTCCTTCTCACTGCAGAAACAAGGACCCAGATGTTTCCCATAATACAGGTTTTCAGCTTACTGTTAATGGCTGGAAAAAAAACTTTTCTAAACAACTGGATTAGTTGTGTTGGAGAAAAAAAAACTAATATTGGAGCCTAGTTTTCAGACATCAGCTGCAATTTTTGTCATGAATCATTTGACCTTCTTGGTGTCACGATACAAAGCATGCGTAGGGCACGGCTTAAACTCCCTGTGCTTCTCTGCCATGAGAAATGTGGACCGCCTGAGTTAATATCCCAGAGTGTGACGGCAGCAGAGTGGACTGTGGTCAGTGTCCATCTCTCTCCGTCACTGCCTCACTTCATCACTAGAAACTAAAACTGGAAATCTATTTCCCATGCTGTGATAAATGGTGCCACCTGTCTCATCAGTCTCCCTGTTGTTGTTGTTTTTTGTTCCTTTTCCTTTTCAAGTAAAACGCCGGAGGACTGCGAAGAGTCGATATTTGTGCGGCACAAGGAGTGCGGCTACAGGTTGAGAGACAACGTCCATTTCCACATGTACATCAGCACCTCGCCGTGTGGGGACGGGAGGCTGAACTCGCCCTATGAAATCACCTCTGACTGTGAGACATTGTGCCTTTCTTTTGTCAAAACATAGGTTGATCATCCCGAAAGGAGATCAGAATAATACTCAGCATGCATTTCTCTGTCATGTAATCACTGCCGTTTTCTCTATTATCACTGTGACTTATCAGTCAGTCCCTCTGGTTTATAAAGAGATCCTACTCTCTGGCAGATATTCTGGAAGCCACTGCTCTGCTTCTTCTTCTTCTTTTTCCCTCTAGACACTCTCAAGGAGCTGGCATGGTTTTCATGTCACATCCCGTCTTTGGCCTCTTTTAGCCACGCTGCGCTGACTAGATTACATTTTATTGCTTACCCACTGAAAATAAATTTGCCCAGCATTTTTTTTTTTCTGCTGGGCTACGAGTTCAGAAACATAATCTGGACTGCCGTTTCCATCAGTGAAATGCATATATCCCCCCACCCTTTCATCCTAGACTGGAGCTCTAAGGATACACACCACAGTGCAGTGCATGAGGAGACTTTCACCAGTGAGGATGGAAAGGCGGATGCTGTCGCCAGAGAAGCCTTTGAACTTGACGTTTGTGGTCATTAAACCTCTTAAATGTTCTGCAGTGCGCTCTCTCAGATTAGAAAATGACTAAGTACCTTTTCCTGACTGTTCTTAAACATTTCTGAGCTGGAAGTTGGGAGCTTAATTTTTTAGCTGCCGTCACCTCAGCCGAAGCGGCAGCCATGCAAGAGAGAAGGAAGGAGTTTAAGCCTAGAGAAGTAAGAGGTTATTAAAACAAAAAAATGGATTATTCATGTACACTTTGTCACCCTGTAATTTGTACTGAAAGCAAGAAGTACAACATCTTTAATATCTATATGAATGTTTTCTTCTGTAAAATGCGGAGTTTCTTCTTCTAATTCCAACTGCTTAAAAAATAATATACTTTAATTAACAATGTCACTGCTTGCAGAGAGCATGCTGCCTTGTGCACACTGCACCAAAGTGGTTTACACAGATCAAGGGAATTGGCTCTGACTAATGCGGTTGCATTGTCGGTTATTCTAACAATAATATGTCATAATATTTCTAACAGTCCTGAGTTCATCAAGGCTTAATCAAAACTGCTTTATCCATAAAAAATGTTTCTTTGCCTTCGAGCCGCAGGCTGCTCTGTACATCCAGCAACAACCCAGCCGAACGCTGACTTCATTAACAATTAGGCAGTAAACGTCCCAAGATAATACATTTAATTCCACAAATGAAGCGGTTAACCTCGTTTAAACTTTTGCTTTAAAAGGAATTGCACTGTTTGTCCTCTTCCTGGAAAGCTGTACCCTTCATCTTATTCTAATATATAATAGTAATGTCTTATTGTTTGTTAGCTTAGCATTATATTATATTTTTATTTTTCTAATGAAGTGGAGCTAGTCCTACTACTACCACCAATAATTAGTCCCAGAGAACATCCCTAATTATACACACAATGTAACATTTGTGAACTAATGTGACTATGTAATGGTTTATTTTCTAAAGTACATAAAACGCAATGCTGGGAAAATGTGGACTGTTTCCACTTGAGTTTACCCCGTTTTCTTTGTGGCCTGGTGCATTTTGGGTAAATTAGATTAGAAGTCTACAAAAATGAATCTTTGCCGCTTATCGATGTGATTAGATGTGGAACTGCTTTGTGTTATTTAGAAATAATAATAATAATAACAGACTTCATTAATAGCTAATTAGATTGTGTTTCAAGCGTAGCCGCGTAATAAGAAATTACATAATGTAGACGGATGAGACTCAGGCTGAGGTTGTATTTGTTCTATTGGCAGTACACAGCAGCAGACACCTCATGAGAAAGCACCGCAGCCACCTGCGGACCAAAATCGAATCAGGCGAGGGGACGGTTCCGGTGCGAGGTCGGGGGCCCGCCCAGACGTGGGACGGCGTCTTACAGGGCGAGCAGCTCATCACCATGTCCTGCACCGACAAGATCACCAGGTCAGTGTTCAACTCCGGGTTTAAAACGTGCAGGGTTGCATTTAGTGTCATCTTTATGTCTTAAATCAGAACTCTCCCTTCATGTTCTGCCTCTTTGCACATGTTGATTTAGTTGTCTGTCAAATGGGTCGGAACTAAATTGGAGGGAAGCACCTGTCTGACTGACCATCTGACAAACTTATTTATACCTGAAATAGCTGGATCGCTCTTGGCGAGTTTAAAATGGACATCTAATTTACTAAAATGTTGTCCTTGCTTTCTTTTGTTTGGATTATGCAGGTTTAATATAAGACAATATGGTAGTTTGCTCTGTGTTGTTGTTATTATTAATATTATCATCTGTATTGCTCTCAATTGGACTCAGATGTTTTGTTGTGTGCAAAAAATAGTCTTAATACAAAGAAAACAGCCAGCGGAGCTCAACAACACCGCTGCCAAAGTCCTTAAATATGTTTTTCATTTGAGCATTGCAGTTATTGGTGCAGAGATTGTGTTGATTTTATTGTAAAAGTCACAAACCAATGTGATGAGCACATCCCCTCACCCAGGAGGTCTCTGGCCTACGTGAGAAAAGATTGATTCAGGGGGTAGCTTTATTAGGAGATTAGCTTCCTTATGAGAAAGAGTGATCCTTGTTTAAATAAAGCATTTTAAAAGGGATTTGTGAGCCAGGTAGAGGTTCGTCTGTGATATTTACCGTAGCACATCTGTGTATGTAGTATGTGCATGTTTGTGTGCCATCGCTGAGTGTGAAATCCTTTGTATTCTGGGTGGTGAATATTGATTTCCCGTAAGTAACTAGAACAAGTAATCCCGTTGTAATGAATTAGTGTGTTATTATCCACATCATTGTTTTAATCTCCACACGTCCTAATATCCACATCTGGAGGCGGGACTCTCTGCTAGCCAGGATATTAGTCACACTCCTCCTGTAACCCACGGCAGGGCCTTTATTTATTTATTAATGTAGGCTTTCCCAGGTGCATGCCACTACAAGAGTCGCGGAGGGCAATAAGAGATGGGTTATTAGGAGTTATAACGCACAGTGGTTTCTGTTTTTAGCCAAAGCTATCTCCTAACGAGTAACGGTAGGCGGTGTGCACCAATCAGCGGCTTCACCGAGCAGCCAGCTGGTGTTCCGTGGGTATGACTCCACCACCCACCTTCTCAGGGAAGAAAAATAGGGCACATTCTAATGCCTCTATGACATATATATATATATATATATATATATATATATATATATATATATTATATTTAAATTAGTGGCCTACATGTAGTAAAATATTGAAAGTTGGCTCACAAAGCCTGCCGATCTGGTATTTTTCTCTTGTTTTCTCTATTGACATATTCCACACCTGAGTACTCTCTTCCACATCACTGGTCCCATGATAACAGCAACTCTGCGAGGAAGGATCCGCCCCCAGACACCACTTGAGCTAAAAAGAACGTTGTAAAAGAGGCTATGAGAGAGCTTACTGAGAGCTAAACACTCAACAAAATGCAGACTGTTTGGGCTGCTGGCTCCTAAATGGTGGAATCGGCTCCCCAACAACATCAGCAGACTAAAAACCTCTACAAACTGTACCTGGACTAGTGAGCACTTATGATGCCACTTTGGCTTTCTTAAATGAAGTTAGGGTCCTTTCTTGATTATTGTTGTTCTGATTCTGTTCCCTCTGCATTTAATGCACTCATTGTAAGTTGCTTTGGATAAAAGGGTCCGCTAAATGATAAAAGTAATGTAAACGTATGAGGAGGCCTGGCAAAGCAGACGTCTCCTCCATAAAAACGCATATGCAAAAAAAAATGCAAATGTGGTTATCACGAGCCGTTTGATGTGTGTAGAAGTCAATGTGTTATACTGTAGCAGCTGGTGTTTTCAGGAGATTTAATGAAGGAAAACACAGTGAGTGGCTGTGTGTAACGGCACAGCGCTCTGACGCAGCACTTCTCGAGGCTGGGGATTTATCAACATGTCCGTCCCAAAGCCCGTCTAACATTTGATTGGGCGAACGCTTACTGTACGGCTGACTTATCATGCCACAGAACAGAGGTTACGTAATGCCTGGTAGCTAGCTGTTGCACAAAAAAACAGAAATGACTTTATATGTATAATATTTGTATTATTCCATTGCACTCAGTGTTAGTGTAACAGAGAAGGAGAGAAAACAGATCCAGAATGGAGCCTGTTTATGTTATTAGATTGTTAATGTGTCGTCTCCGTGTTGGCAAGCCTGCACAGTACAGACTGCAGCGCTAAAACAGCTCCCCGCCCCCGTTTTCACACTGTCCTCGTGTGAGGAGTAAAGGCATCAATGTGTACTCACCAGAGCATCTTTACATGCAGAGGCAGACATCTCCATACGCACACAGTTTGCAGGCCATGGTGGTATTTTTTTGTATATATATGTACAAATGTAGTATTGGTGTTATGTGCATCTAGCATTGTATTTTATTTATTTTTTGTTTTATAACTCATGTAAAATGTTTCTACCCTTTGTGTATATAACATTCTTTTTGTTTTTTTGTCGTGGATCATTCAAATGATGGTAATGGTCGGTGCATGGACGATATATTTCAATCTGGAGCAAACTGGTGGACAGCCAATTAACTGCCAGACCAGCGTTGCATCCAAAATGTTCAAGAATAGTGAGTCTTCACTCGCACCCTTGATGTTGCATTTTGTATCTGAAATCGATTCTTAATACACTCCGCCAGGACGGGCCCCCGAACCGGAACTGGGACCATGAATTTAGCTTAGCAAGTTCCGCACTGTGCCAGCGGAGGTCCTAAGCAGAGCCGCTGTTTTGTGTGAGAAAGGACGGGCACAAACACACACATGGGGGGGAGAGAGAGGTGAACCCTTCTCCTGTGGAGCCGCTGTTAATTTGACCAATTTGATTCAGTTGGCCAGGGCTGAAGACGGTGTGATTAAATCTACCCAGGTCACCAACAGGGGTGAAAGCAATTACTTTACAAAAAAATAGAGGGACGGGGGAAGGAGGGGACACCCTGCTCCCCTTCTCTTACACCCCCCCGCCCGCGCTTCCCAACAGGCCGGGCGGCAGACGCGCTCTCTTTGCTCCGCAGCCTCTCCCCCCATTTTTGGGGGGGGTTTTATACATCGCCGTAAATGATCGGTGGCCGTCGTTAAAGTGAGTTGGTCACCAAGGGCCGGTTTATCAAGGTCAGGGTGGAGGGTGGAACTACACACACACACAGCATTCCTATAGTGATCCCTTGGATGCTCTTTTCTTCTGCTCTGTCACACTCATTTTGCAACCTCCCATTACTTTTTTATATCCACACCTTCAGCTCCTGCACATAATTATAGTTGGTTCAGCTTTGACCATAAGGCGTTTTAGAATATTGGCGCTTATCATAAACATTATTTGTGAAAATGGCCAACGTCTCTCTATCATTGATACACCTGATGATCATCATTGAGTTTTCTTAAGCCCGGCCTTATGCTAATATTGGATTTGAAGTCGACAGCTGGATTTAATTGAGGGGCCTAAATGGCTTTCATATAACGATGATGTTCTCCATTCCACTGCAGTTTTATGCAGATGAACATTACTTTAATAGTCGGCGTTTACCGGGGGAGGGAGGAAGGGATAGATGTGGAGCGACGGAGTGAGAGAGGAGAGGTCTCTCCCCTCTCCTCTCTTTAAATTCACACGCCCGAGCCAGATGGCTGTCTTTTCTTGCATGAGATTAGAAGATGTTTCTGATTCACGGTGTCGCTTTCTGGGTAAATTATTATTTCAGGCTAAACTCTTTCTATCTCGGTGGAGAGCTGAGTGTTGGAACGAAGCGGCTGCTCTCCGTCCGAGAGGGATGAACAGATCTTTCTGACAGATTGCAGGTAAAGCGTACGCAGTAGGCCGCTGATCCCCGAGCCGGCGCGCTGATTCCCAGAAAGACGCCGGTGTTGATTGACTGCTCGGGGAGCGTAGGAAGCAGCTATGAGTTATTATTAAGTCGGCGGAGAAAACAAGGAGGCGCTGTAATTGCATCCGTTATAAAGAGACGTTGATTAGCAAAAAGAACAATGATCTCAAAATGAGTGGCATAATGCCGAGCCTTTGATTGTGGCTCACGTGACTTCATTAGTCCAGTGAGCAGGCACACTGCGGGCTTTTTCTCTCCCCCCACGAAGGGCAGGAACGATAATAAACAAGGTAATTATCATTTTCGATCCATAAATTAGCATCTGCTGGTTAAATACTGTGGAGTGGGATTGGGCAGTAGGTGGCACATGACCAGCTGGCGACAGTGCGAGGCGTCGGTGCGCCTGGCAGGATTAGCCCCACAGTGATTTTGTGTCACACGTGGATCTCCCTAAACAAATCCGGAGGCGATTGCCCCTCGCGCCGAGCGATCGACAGGAGCTCGCCTGCATCCGCGCGCAGTGCATTAACCCCCGTGGCACTGATGGATGCACACATGGTAATGTGTTGTTCCATGTCGTGAATGCTGATGGACTGACCTTTCGCAGTGTTTTTGTTGGTGGCAATGATGGTTTGCGTCGCTGAAACAGGGAAAAATGGGAGAGGAGGACGAGTGTGTGCGTGTGTGTGTGTGTCTGTTTTTGGGGGGGGTGTGTGTGCATTGTTGGTCCGGCAGCTGTTATTCATCACGTCCCACATCAAGATAATGATCAAATTGTCTCTACCTGTCATTAAAGCTCTCTCTCTCTTTTACCCTTACTCTCCACCCATCTCTCCTCCTTCCTGCCCTGATTCTATCTCTCCTCCTCCAAACTCTTGCCTTCACCTCTTTCTTCCTTCTTTCCTTTCCTCCGCACCCTCCTCACTCACCCTTCATTCCTTCATCTACTTTTCAAACCGCCATGCCGCTCTCCCTCCCTGACTTCCTCTCTCTTTGCGCCCTCCCTCCAGATGGAACATCCTGGGCCTGCAGGGGGCGTTGCTGAGCCACTTTGTGGAGCCGGTGTACCTGCACAGCGTGACCGTCGGCAGCCTGCGCCACCCGGGCTATCTGGGCAGAGTCCTGAACCAGCGGCAGGAGCGCCTCGGCCCGCTGCCCGCCACGCACAGACGCAACCAGCCCCTGCTCAGCGGTACGACTCCAACTCAACCACAACTCAGTTACATCTTCTCAACATAGCTGGTGCTGGAGGTGTTTGGAGGCTCTGGAGTGGTTTCTAAACCATCATGATGGTCAAATTTGCGTGTGAAAAATCACACGCAGTGAAAGAGCTGAGCAGATTTACTGATCGCTGCCCTGTTACAGTCGACCACGGTTGGGCTCAAAAGGGATCCACAGTTTGATTTGAGTTGTGATCGTATTGCACTACTCATTTTGATAGTCTGTTTAAGGGTGTAGATTTGTAGAAACAAGCTGTGAACTTGTATTGATATATGATCTTTTACTATTAGCCCATTTACACATCCAGCCACTACAGCAACATTATCATTCACGAGGAGCCGTATTTGTGTCCACCTGGTGAATGTATGTCCATTGCTCACTTTACTGTTGTCCCTGTATTTAGACAAAATTTAGTCAAAAAAACCTATTTAAACTATTTAAAATTCACTAGTTAATTGATCTGCCTTTTTATTCACTCTCAAATGGTGTAGTTAAGTTTTTTCCCCCAGTTTTTGATAAACTTCAACTAAATGAGTATATCTATGGTGACCCTGCCTTTAAGCATCTTTGTATTGGGGAGAGAATAATTTATATAATCAATCACAACAGATTGCCCCCCCCCCACACACACACACACCCACACACAGACACTCATACTTGACAAACTTGCGTACCCCTGCTTCCCAGTTACATTGTGCCAGCTAGACAAGCAACAGCTATGAAGTTGTCTGGCACGTCGGCCTCCAGGGCTCCACTGAGTCCTGAGGCGTTCGTTTGTAGTGAAGATGAATGCTGGAAGAGGATCTGAATGACACCCAACGTGTAGAAACTGCATCAGCCATCACTTCAGATCTAGGCCAGCCGGAGAGGCTGAGCGACAGAGACGCACCGAGATGTAGGGCACATTTTGTTTCTAGGGATCCCTCTAATGAGAACACATGTCACATTTATATATATATATATATATATATATATATATATATATATATATATATATATATATATATATATGATTTTTGCTGTTTTGCCACCACCTCCTTTTTTTTCAATTAACAACTTAATTAATAAGCCAAAACCCTGAGTAAATGGCAGCAAAGCGATCTAGAATATTAGAAAAAAAGAACTTTAACACGTTACAAAAACTTTATTTTATCAGACGTAGGCTTGCCTTTGTCTAACATGCAGTAGCAGCTTTGTGGCATCCATAAGAACACGACAGATCATTAACGAAGCAGGAACGAGCTCATTAACTAAATAGAGGTGCAAAATAAGAGAAATAACTACATGAAATAACATTATGCCATTTGTTACTTTGCCTCCTTCCCTTTCTTGTCATTAGAGTGTGATACGGTCTCCAAATCCCCCCTCAAGTATGCTTCTTGAAGCGCATAGGAGCTCTTTGCATTGCAGGGCTGTGCTCCAGGTAATAGGTGCCATGAGGCTGAATATTTTGCGAGGCCCATCCTCATCAAGATTGATAAATGTACCGAATTGCCCTCTGGTGATGATAGTTGGGACAAATTTATCCTTGACTCTTCCAACCACGGCCTCAGCCAGCATTTCTCATGATTTGTTCAATAACTTTTTGTATTGAGTCATTTGAGTTGTCTGGCGTGGAGTTTGCGGTTTATATATTACCGGCTGCAGATGATATTTGCAGAATTGTGCTCAGGTACGATCCCTTTGTTCATCTATCACACTTACTTATGATATTACGTCATGATTTTTAACTATTATTAGCCTTGCTGTAAGTACATCATTATTTTAATGAACCTATCCCTTTTTTGTGTGTGTTTTCTGTCTATGCGCAAACTGCGCCTGCAGTAGCTCGAGTAGCTACAGTCTATTGAAGGGCAGAAGGGCGAAGCAACGGGAGGAGAGGAGGAACGATGGACAGACAGTGGCGATGGCCCTACACCAAATCAATGTAATCACAGCCCTTATCAGACAGCCATTCAATCTGAATGCAGCTCGGGCGGAGCGAGGGAGACAGGCCGAGGGGAGGAGAGGGGGAAGGCGAGGCAGGATGTCTGTGCACCTTCCCCCACCGCCTCTCATCTCCCCCTCTGTCCTTTCATTGGCTCTGATGAGCTCCCCTATTGTGTGTCCGGGGTTATTTAAAATAGAACTTCCCGGGGATCGCAGGGCCCGGTCTTATCACACTCCGACAAAGCAGCTACACCTGAAGCCCGAGGGCGCATTGACTCGTCTTCCACCCGCGGCCTGCTGTTCAGCGTGAACAGGAACTGTGGCAGAGCTCCGCCGTTTTAGCATAAGAAGAATCTGGTAAAACAATAAGCACAGGAAATAGAATCAGGGTCAGCTCATTAAGATGCGTGCTTCCCAGCTGTCTGTTACAGAGTGAGGCATCGCTGCCTAAATGTGTGCGCCACTGCTATGAGCCAGGAGTAGAGGCCTGTTGGTTTCATGTGATGGAAGGTTGCTTCGACAGTTTTTATAAACTTTTGTATGACGTAATAGGGACAGATCCATAAGGACTCGGGTTGATGGTTAAAGTATTCACTGGTCTTTAGGGCTGTTGGAGAGCTGCACACCTGTGGGGACAGAAAGTAAATATCATACATATTGAATGCATTTGGGATTGAATAAAGTTGAGTGAGGATGACTCTTAATCAAGTGCTAGACAGATTTGAGCTGGCATCCTCTCGGGCTGCATCCACAATATTACATTAGCATTTGGAAGAACTATATTTCGCTATGTTTACACTGAGCGTCCGCACTAATCCGGCGGTTTAAAAACACTCCCCAGGGTGCATAAGTTTGGAAACGATAATGTAGAACCCCGCGGTTGCTTCTTGATTGGGTCTTTGCAGTCACGATGTGTCCTTCCCTGATTCGTCACGCACTGATCGCATGATAAGAAGAACCATTAGCGATTAGCGAGCGGCGTTTCCAGCTGTGTCCAACGCCCCCACGGAGCGGACGTCTGAAGTCCGGTTTGTGACTTTGAGAAGTGCGGAGGACTTCGCTTATTCCCTTCCCTTATTACTAATGCTGATTTTGTTCACCACAACTATTCTGAGGACAAAAACATGAATGCTCTCCAGTATGAAAGGGAATTCAGACACCAGCTGATGAGTCACTATACGAGACAACAATGAAACCGAAAAAAAAACTCAGATACTTGTTTTTTCCCAACATATCGACCCGTAACCTAGTGAACTTTCTTCTATATATGTTCATTTTAAAGTAACTTGGATGTGTGTGAGAGTTCTATATTGTTTTTCTGTAACTAGAATTAGTATTAGAATCTGCTTTATTCACCATGTATGTATGCGTATGCTCTCAATTGCAAAAACACAGTAGAATAACAAGAATATATAAAAAGGCCCTCAAGGAATATATACAAAACAACGAAAGACAAAATGAAATATTTACAACTACACAATATAAATATATATTCAAAAGTATATGCATATTTGAGGATCCCCAGAGGGGAGAAGTCTGAGGAGGTGGTGTTCTTTCCTCCATTGCTGTTCTTGTCTGGTGGCCGATCCAAAGCGCACAGTGATGGCGCAACCAATGGACTTACACCGGCACCCGCGGGCACAGTCGACATGTCACGTGTTCAGACGGACTAGTTTGAGCGGAAATATTTGTAGATGTAAATTATTTTCTTTAGAAACCACAGTTGAGGAACAGCCTCTGTTGAAGACCAACATTGAAGACCATCTTTTTCACACAGCAGTTGCTCCACCCTCACAAGAAACCCTTTAGAAAACCTCGGCGTACTACAGAAATGCAAAATAGATGCAATGTGAACACATAAACATACTGCGGTGTATTGTGGCATGTTTACTGTACAGTCATGAATCCCCAACCCAAAAGGTATAATTATGGCTGCCAAATACTCATTTCAATTGATCAAGTCTTCATTGGGGGGCAGAATCAAATCTATCAGAGAAGCAGAAGAGTCGAGTCCATTGAAAGGGTGAAATGGGCCATGAATGGAGCGAGAGAAAGGGAAAGGCAGGATGGATTGGGTCTTTTGTTCAAAGAGGTGCGAGAAGAGATGGGAAATAAGAGACTTGGAGGATTGTTACTGTGGCAGGCGATTCATTCCAACTCCACGCAGCTAGAGAATAGAAGAGCTGAGGTCGGTGAATGGGAGAGTGACGACAGGAAAATGAGTGTGGCAAGGAGGGAGATGATCTGCAGGCTTGTATTATGGTATTGTACATCACGTATTGTACTATAACAGGCTGTCTGTCAGACGGGGAGATCAGAGGCAACTGTTGTTCACCCGTCGCACAGAATCTCTGCTGAGGTACCTTTCAGATTTTGTGATATAATAAATAACTGGGTTGGAAATTCAAGACAGCGATTCCTTTCTGAAGACAGTTTTACAGATTGGATTCAAGCAGATACCCAGATGCTACATGTTAACTCGGCTATTAGCTACTCTATTAGCCACTCTACAAGGCAACTACGCTCCATAGATGCTGGGTTACTTGTTGTTCCTATGGTTTTAAAAAGTAGGCTGGGGGCCAGAGCCTTCAGTTATCAAGCTCCTCTTTTGTGGAACCAGGTTCCACTTTCAGTCCGGGGGGCAGATTCGGTCAGCTCTTTTAAAGTAAAACTTAAAACGTTCCTCTTTGATTCTGCCTATAGTTAGGGCTGGCTCAGGTTAGTCCGGACCAGCCCTTAGTTAAGCTGCTATAGGCTTAGAATGCCGGGGGGAATTCTTAGGACACACCAAGCTCCTCTTGCACGCTCTTGTTCTACCATAATTCACGTTTTATTAATGCACATGACTAATTCAGCTTCTTTCCGGGAGTTTTTTTTGTGCTTTCTTCCCCATCAGGTCTCCGTAGATCGTGGTTCCTTCGGGACCCTGGTCCTGACACCTACCGTGGCCCTGCTGATGCCTGCTGCTGCCATCATCATCATCATCATTATTTTAGATATTAATCATATTACTTTACTCATAAACCGACATTACCCTCTCCTAAAATCTCTGTGCTCTCCCTCCCCACAGGCTTCTGTGGATGGTGGTTCTATGTGATGGTGGTTGCCCCTGCAGTGGTCCTGCTGTGCGCCTGGCTTACTACTCACAACTACTTCATTACTATCATTTCTGTCATAGGAATTGCATGTATTATACATTGTTCATTCTGTACACATGGCATCCATTGTCCATCCCGGGAGTGGGATCCCTCCTCTGACGTTCTCCCTAAGGTTTCTTCCCTTTTTTCCCTCTTGTAAGGGTTTTTTAATTTTTTGGGGAGTTTTTCCTGTGCCGATGGTGGGTTTCGGGGCAGAGGATGTTGTATGTGTACAGACTGTAAAGCCCTCTGAGGCAAATTTGTAATTTGCGATAATGGGCTATACAAAATAAAATGACTTGACTTGACATCCAAGGGATCACTTGACTACCCCAAAAAACAGGTGAGCAATTTGCTCTTTTCTGTGAGTCCTGATGAGTCATGAGAAATAGTGGGACATTGTGGGAAACACGCTTATTGGCTGGTTAGATGAAAAGACGTATTTCCAGCATCTGGTTAGCTTAGCTTAGTATAACTAAACACTTCTCAACATTTAATTTGCTCCATATGTAATGAGTGTGGGAGTGTCTTTGGAGGGGTCCTGAAATGACGAGCGGTCAGTGATGCCGCCTTATACAGCTCTCTTTACATTAAGGACAGCAGTAAAAACATAAAGCACATAAGACCCTGAATCACAACCGCTTCATTTTCCTTATTCCCCATATAGGTGAACTGGTGCGATGCACCCGCGGTGACCCTTAAGGGACGTTTCTCATTTCTCAACCTGTCGTCAGCTCTGTTTTCCGCTCTGCCAGCACCTGTGGATGCAGACAGCTTATCTCTACATAGAAGCCAATGTGACAGTCACCTCCACCTCTGTCTCTCTTTCTCCTTCCTCCACTGAGCGCTTTGTCTACTTTGCTAGCGGGGCTAATTGTTTCTGAGGCAGAGAGAGGGGGGGGCGGGACGGAGACAGACAGCATGGGAGGCTTCGTCTTTTCGACTGGAGATGATGTTTGTGGCGTACCTGGCTGGTAGCTGCTGGGGCTCGAGAGCAGACAAGCGTTCACACAAAGGCAGGAACGTGTTCCATGCTCGTCCCCCCCTCGTCCCTCTCTGTGGGTAAACTAAAGCTTGGTATGAACAGCCGGGGCCGTGGTCAACTGGGCTCCTTGCAGTGAAGCAGAACTTGACGTCTGCCATTAGCCTCGGGGAGAGGCAGAGCAAAGGGTGACGGAAGGTTAAACGAAGCACAAAACAAAGGGGGGATTTGACAGAAGAAATGCCGATAACCATACTGGTTCCACTCGGATTGTGCATTATTTTTTGTTTTACAAATCTGATATCATCAACCGCTACTGGGGAATACCTGGAATGTGAAGTCAGTGCCTCTCTCTCTGTAGGGCTGAGCACTGCGGAGAATCAGCAGCCAGGCAAGGCCTCCTGTGTGAGTGTCAACTGGACGCTGGGGGACGCCCAGCTGGAGGTGGTCAACACAGCAACGGGACGGAGACGGGACTCGGGGACACCGTCTCGTCTCTGCAAACACGCCCTCTTCGCCCGCTGGAACAGACTTTACCGCAAGGTGAGGGATCTCACAGCTAAACATATCAATGTGGAGAGAGAACGTCTGAGGGGGGGCTTCATTGTGTTCTGTGCTACGTTGATATGTCAATGCAGGTCGGTTAAACCCTGAACTACGGACGTGTCTCACAAAGCTTAGAGGATAAAAAATAAATAATGTAAATTAAATATCCACATTATTCTTCATTTATTTTGTCGTACGTACTTTAGGACATCATTACAGGAAATGGGGATTTCCAAAATATTGACAAAGCCAGTGTGTCACCTCCCTTAATGGGCTTTTTCCCCAGCAGAATTTTAGCAGACTTTAATGATAGCTCTTTACCGACATGCACAACACTAAAAGCACTGGCAGAACTCAACGGAATACAGCCATTATTAATATTATTAATTACATTGTGCTTCGCTTGTTATGACATGTCGAAATATTGGCTTTGAAAATGTCACACTAATTTAAATGTTAATTAAAAAGCACCTTCCAAGGTGTATCTTTTACTCGCGCAAAAAAATATTCTGATGTACTATTTAATTAATCTGAGTGAGAACAATAGTCCCATTTTCATATGAATAAGTGTCTGTTTCCCCACTCTGCTCCCCGGGCTCGGTCCTGTAAATACTCCTCTGCTGGATATCTAGAGGCATTACGTAGTGAAAACAATGCGCCATCCTTTGCCATCAGGAGTTAAAGGGAAGCACATCCGCACAGTAACGATTGTGCCAACAGCCGATCCCTTAAGAGCAAACCACGTGGCTGCAGGTGACCTATCGCTCTGCCGTGGATAAATTAGGCCGCGGAAACATCTGCAACATCTGCTCTCTTTGCAACTTATCGGAAACCAGCAGCTCGCATCTTTAACGCTGCACTTTCATTTTCCCCGAAACTTTATGTAACAGACAGCGCCTGCATTGCCTAATGGCGGCCGTTAAAGCATAATGACTATGAAACCATAATTATTTGGAGAAGCACTCGAGGAGGCCCCCACCCTAAGTGCTCCCCGCGCACAGTACATGAGGGCCACGGAAGAGCAGTCGCACTAATCTCCAAAAGAAACTTTTGCTCTCTGTCACTCTCTCCCCCTCCCTCTCTCTCCCTCTCTGCGTCTCTCTCTCTCTCTCTCTCCCCCCACTTGTCTCTCCGCGGATCTTCATTGTTTCCCCTTGCGACAATAGGAATGCACAAAAAGCACAGAGACTGTTCAATTGCTTGTGAAATTTAAATGGGGAGATTACACAGCTGTTGAAGCCTCCCCACCACCCCACCACCTCCCGACCCCACCCAAATGCATTTGTGCCGGCTCATTCGTTTTGTTTTGCTCGCTCTCCCTCTCCCTCTCTCTCTCTCTCTCTCTCTCTCTCTCTCTCTCTCTCTCTCTCTCTCTCTCTCTCTCTCTCTCTCTCTCTCTCTCTCTCTCTCTCTCTCTCTCCCCCCTTTAAGGAACCTTTAGCCTCTCTGCCCCGACTTTATTCCCCATCTCTTGTCTTCATGTCTTTCTCTGTGAGGTTTTTAATCTGATTCCCAATCTCTCTCTCTGCCTCCCTCTCTTTCCTCCTCCCTTTTTTCCTTGCTCACTTTAGTTGGGGATCCACGTGTTCAGCTCGGCTGAGTGCCAGCTCATGTACTGCGACGCCAAGATGGCGGCACGTCCTTACCAGACAGTGAAGCAGCAGTGGTTCAGATCCCTGCAGGAAACGGGCCTCGGGACCTGGGTCAAGAAACCGCCTGAGCAGGAACAGTTCCTGCTGTCGGTCTGAGGACCAGAGAGAGAGTGTTTGTTTAACCTTCATAAGGGTACGATGGCGTCATGCTCTTTATCAACATCCTGTTACACCTTCATACCTGGAGGTTTACTGGTGTATCTTCTAAAGTCACAGCTATTGTCACCAGTGTGTGTGTGTGTGCGTGTGTGTCATCCTGGACGGGCCGCCCTTCCACCCAACAGACACACAACAAGAGGAAGGTCAACTGGACGGGCTGAAAGGAAAACACACATAAAAAGATGGACCCTTTCCTTTTTAAGGCACTTTTTCAAGCACACAAGCACACACGTTTAAGCAAACACACACCTAAATACCCCCTCTTCGGCTGTCAAGGAAGGGTGAGATAACCTTGAGCAGAATGAAAGGCAGCCGCTATCTTGTCATCAGCTATTTCCGGGCCCCCAAGGCTCCCGCTGAGGAGCCGAGCCGTTGGGGAGAGAGACGGAGAAAGGGAAAAAGCACGAGAGAGAGAGAGAGAGAGAGAGAGAGAGAGGGGTCCACGTCCAATTACCGGCCCTGTCAGCGTGACGGGTGATAGAAGAAGGAGAAAGGAAGAGCGGGAAAGGGAGAGAGGGACACAACATCGCTTTCAGCCCGTCTCACCTTGCCTCTCTCATTTCTATCTTTGTCCTCCATTTCTGACTCACCCTTTGACTCCTGACTTCCTCCTCCTTTTGTCTCCATCTCTCCCTCCTCGCCCCCCTTTACATTTCCTTTAGTCCTCTACCTAGTTCCCCCGCCGTCCTTTTTGTCACTCCGCCCCTATGCCCCCCCCCCCCGCCTTTCAAGCGCGGTGGAGGTTAACACGACGAGACTACAGGTTAAAACACCCTCTTTTTTTCTCCTTACCTCAATCGCTCGCCAACACTGAGGTGCTTAAAGGCAGCCATGACTTTGCCTAAGTACAGGTGTGGGTGATGAAGGGGAGTTATTTTCAGTTTTTCCCTCCCTTTCATACAAATTGCATCCTTCTCTTTGTGTCTTGTGACCTGGTTGACCTCCGTTGCCGTACACCTGAACGGGAGCCAATGAGAGTGGCAGTTAAAAAAATCAGCGAGGTGAATATGGAGAGTAACGATCACTACCATTGTATCTCACGCAATTTGTTATGTCTACACATACTTCACGATGTGAACAAAGATATTTCTCATGCAGCTAAATGTTGGTGTTCATTGTGATCATGGCTGTGTTTTTTCTGTCATTGCTGTATTATGTCCGACTGTAGAGGGACTAAATCAAAGTAATGAGAGTGACACCTAGTGGTCATTCCCTGTCATTGTCTCCCTGTCCTGCTTACTGAGCCCCCGGTGTGGCTGCATCAAGCGAGGACGGGTCGGCAAACATGATCGTTGACCGCACACAAGGGAGAACTTTCCCTGCATGTGACTCCACGGCCACTAGGCCAAAGTTTTCACTGGTCTTTAATAGGTCTATGTGGTATTAGTGGTTTTTGACGCCCTCAGAAACGTTATAGCGTTACTTATTTAAGAAGTTAAATTTCAAAAAGAAAGGCTTACTGATTGACTATTGGGATTAATGCTCACACGCTCAGCTGTCCTGCTTCATCGCGGCTGCGGTTGGATTGACAATGACCGAACAACCCACCAACTGTGTGCACGTTCTCATCCAAATGACGCCAAATCCCGACCGACTCACTGTTGTGAAAGGTCCCTTTTCTCAATGAAGCCACACCCCAAAAGGCATTATGCATTTCACCCTGACTCCAGAGGCGACATGACGAGGGGGACTGTACCCTCGTCTGAGTGCTCGGGGCGCAGCCACATGAACCTTTTTGGGTGCCCCGATTCAAGGAAGTCACGCGGTCTCGCGTTGCTACGTTGCTCCCACTTAAAGATTAGACTTGGTAAAAACCTGTCTGTCTGTGTGCATCAGAGCAGAGATATAGCGTTTGTTTTCCACCAACATGTGTTGCAGATTTTCATTGTTTGAGTGGTCATCGTCAGCACACACTCCATAACTCGACGGGGTTCGTCGACAGAGGTAACAACATTCACACCATGGTTTATAATGGCTGTAAAAGCCATAACAACAGATTTATTTTAAGAGACAATAAATATAAGCATGTCTGAATGCAATACTGTATCTAATAGTGTACATATGTACAAAAGAATGGTGAAAAATACGTGAACGAGATCCTCAAATGTCTAAATATCATTTAAATGAAAGGATACTAAAGAACTGCTGCTTAAGTCTGTAAATTGCACTTCAGTAACAAAAAGTGAATGTTTGTATTGTATATGTGAATAAAACCACAAAATCTTGTAATTTTACCTTGTTTTGATAGTTTTTTGTCTGGTCTTACTTTGATGTCAGAACATGAAATGAGTAATCTAAAAGAACCTGTCATTACTAATACAAAAAATGTAAATACTGGGTGCTGATATTGGGCCTTTTCCACCTGTCCGTATCCCCAACGGCCCTTGGGAGCATCCAGACAAATATTAAAGAGGCCTCCCTCCCCCTTTGTCTCCCTGGGGAAATCCATGGGGAAATGTTATCTCCATTCGGCTCGGTGGCAGGTGTCACACAACCGGCCACCAAATTAGCCTGGAGGGAGAAGGAAGCGAGGAAGAAGGCGAGAGGAGGGGATCGAGGTGGGCCTCCTCAGCAGCGCCCGCCCTTCGCCCCCGAGGCCGTGGCGTCGGCTGTGCTCGACAATAAACATCATAATTGACAATTTGCTGCAGTGGCTGGTCACGGCCAGCCAGCTGTAATCTAGTGAACGAGGAGGGAGAGGTAAAACGCCACCGGATCCTCTCGCTCCCTGTGTCACGCTGCGTCGCTATGGAATCTAAGCGCCGTAACACACTGAGGATGACGTGTTGTGTTCAGACAACTGAGCGGTCAGTTTTCCCACTGGCCATTGTGTGGCCTGTTTACTGTAACCGGCTGGCAACAACAATTGCAACTTACTGTATTTTTAAATGAAGTTAAAATCAATTCTACTGGGAAAATAAGACACCACTTAAAAAAAAAAAAAAAATACAAGGCCCACATTTTTTACATTATTTACTAGCAAATCAACTTCAATACATTCTTAAATGGATCCACCAGATAAATTTGTTTGTAAGGACATTCAGATTCAGACCTACCTTTCCTCAGCCAATCCATTAAACGCCATTCTTGTTTTAAAACACTGACAATAGCAGAAACTCAGCCTGGTGGAAATTCCACAAAATCACAAACATCACTTTTGCACCTTCAAACTCTTATATGGAACAATTTCTGCACCTGTGTAATGACATCACTCTTTAATAACAATACCCTCTTTTCATTCCCCCACTTGGTTCAGATGTATAGCAATGGGTACAATCACTTTTTTGAATATCTGCAATTTAAATCATCCATTCAATCCAAACTAAACATCAAGACCATCAGTTACCCCCCCCCCCCTCTCCCCCCTCAACCTTACAATTAATTAATATCACCTCCTCAAAAAAATTAACTTGACATCTCCAAAAAAATAGCACAGGCTGACAAAACATCATCCATACCATCAAGAAAAGTTTGAGTTTGACTTATCCGTCACTCCTGATGCTGCCTTTTGGACTCAAATCTGCAATAATATCTACTTCATGACTAGTAATGTAAATTTGCAATTCATTCAGTCTAAAATAGCTACATTCATGCCACTTTTGGGTGAAAATAACGGGGTCATTGTCTGTTTTCCTGCGCGGCCTCGTCCCATCGTCTCCCTGACTATGCTCAATAGGAGACATTTCAGCAATTAACCTGTGCAAAACCCACCGCCGATTACTCCTCGTGGCCATAACTGTTGCCAACTGTTGGATTGTTTTTTTTTTAACAGTACTTCTCTGAAGATGAATGTATGTGTATATTTGTTTGATAGTTAAGGCAGATGCAAAAGCAGTGGCTACACATTGAGCAGATCTCGGGTTAGACTTTAGTATCCATTGTGCTTACCATCAGTGGAGGTCCAGTGGGGAGAGAAGAACCGCAGAATTAAGTCTTCGCTAAACAAAGTTTGCAATGAGAACGGGCTGAACAGGGACAGGGACATTCCAGGACATTTTTTGTTACCAGCTCTGCTGTGAATGTTGCTGAGATACCGTTTGAATTCATGCAAGGCGAAAAGGGTAAAAGTAAACCTGTTGAATGGAGACTGAGAGGAGGACAGAGGAGCTTATCCAGAGCTGCCTTCATTGCGTCTGCATTACCATCTGCCTGTTGGTGATGGCACATCAACCAACAAATGTTGTCATGGACATGTTACTGGTGGCCGGCAAAAACATGCAGGCCAAATGTAGTTGGGGGGGTTGTGCTATTAAAGGTTAATGGCATGGGATCTTCATGAAATGTAACCTTGTGGATGGCATGTAATGCGAGTTTTGTAATCTTTGAGAAACAGATGCTTTTATAACACTGCAGGTAGTGAATTAACTGTGTGTCAGCAAGTAGCAAGATATGGATGTGTGAAGATAAATGCCTGAGCCTGTGGGCGTTTACTCCCTCGTGTTTGATCCCTTCCAGGTCAGATGTTTGAGATGTTCCGCTCATATGGAGGGACAGGAACGTGTTTACGAGATGTAGATGTTTTCATGGTTTGTTGCTCCTTAATACCGTATGTCCCTCACTTTCAATAGAAACATTTTAGAAAAATACTCTGCTCAAGTATTGTGTTGCCTCTCAAAGCATCACCCTGACAGCAACTGATTTAAAGCTGCCATGAAAGTTTCTTTTGGAATATTTACATAACAAAATTAGCTAAATTTACTGAACCACTGTTCATTTATTTTTCTCACATATACTATTTGATTTTTATTACTTCAAATCCACATAGTATGTTATGAATTTTCACCTTTTACGACATACATTACTAATACATTTGAATTTCATTTTTTTAGAATATCTACATATGATTTATATGGTGACCTTTATATGAAAGTTTTAATCCTTATTTTCATAAGACCTGACATTCTAAAAGTGGAGCTATAAATTCCTTTCTGTTTTACTTTTTCAAATTGGATTCTATTACTTTTATTTATATATTTTGACACACTATAGGACATATACACGTGGAACATAATTCATCTTTTAAAAATAACCTTAATGTGAAAACTCAAATGTCTATTTGACTGAATGGATACAGCTCTCTCTCTCTGCAGATGGTTCAGAGGTCTAACAACATAAAATGTTTAAATGCAGATTATCTCGTCCCCTCCCTTTGCAGATGTCTTCCGTCAGCCGAGGGATCCACTAAGGCTGAGATCCCCGCTTTGCTAGTGTCTCCATGTAAGAGTGTTAAGCGATGACATCAAGACGACATTACAGAATGTCAGACATGAAATACCTTCAATATGACCACATTTATCATTTGGGCTCGAATGGCCTCGTCTTCATGCGTTTATATTAAAGTTTAACATACCATAATGACTTGTTCGAGATTCTAGAACTATATTTCCAGAATTTTTAACATGCTATACTATGACTTTTTCACTCAATACCAAGATAAAAGCTAAGCAATAAATTCATAACTATATTGTAAAAATGTATAGAATGCAGCACCGGCTGTTTCTTTGCAAAGGATCAAGCTAGTTATTGAAAACCACATTTTTTTTTGCCTCAACTAGACAACGTAGGCCTGAAAGGATTCAGCGAAAAACACTAAAACCAGAGGCTTGAGAAGCACAATTCATTTACAATTAGAAGTGTTTGGGGTGTAAATACACTTAAGTTATATCCAGTTTTATTCCCATTAGTTCACATAGAAACTTTATCTTAAATATTCCCAGAATTTGCCAACCCTAATTTCCATTACTTTTATGAAAAGTTGTATAAGTATATTCTTTTATTTGCAACATAATATAGGATCATTTTATTCATTTCTTCAAATATGAAAATCTTTTTGACAAACGAGACATTTACCTTTTTGTAAAATCTTAATGAAAAGCAGCTTGCTGGTAGCCGTGGGCCATGGATACACGGAGTAAAAATATTCATATACTTTATGTTTCTCCTTTCATCACATCCAGACTTCATTATTACAATCGACTAGATTTAGAACCAGATCAATTTTTTTCATATTGAAATGACAAACTGAATAAAAGAAGTTTGTGTTAAAGAAGATGAAAAAGAGACGAAGGACTGGGAAAGGAAATCACAAGTTTTATTGGAAAGTGTCCGAGAGCACGTAGCTCACAATGAAGTATGCAAAGTAAATCGCATAATGAACTTTGAGGGATATGATTGGGCCTGGTGCAGCCCATCCACTTCTTACTCAACCCCTAAAGTCTGGTTCGCAATATCTTTGTGCATCAATACAAGATAATTTTCCTTCAAGTTGGAATTCATTTGTGGGGCGAAAATAGGACTTGGCTTTCTACCTCCAGATCACAATGACACTGAAATCACTGGCCGCGAGATTGAGTTCTGGAAATGACACACAGCGCAGTGAAACACAATTCTCTTTTTTAACATGCATTTGGAACAGTGCATTGATGCTCTGGTGGATAAGGCTGATGCACCGCTCTCCATGCAACGGTAAGGCATTTCATTATGTTCATTATTACCTTCATGCCACCTCGATACCCATCCACACTCTCAAATGTGAGGTCTGAAGCCAACTTTGGGGTAAGTTATGCATAACTATGTACACTGAGCCACATCTACACCAGTCGCACAACATCATGTTTTACAGCAGTGAAAAATCACATCTGAAGATCAAAAACTACAGCAGACTTCATGTTAAGGGAACAAATCTGAGCTTCACTCGGAGCACCAGAAACATAAAGCATCTGGGTTATTGCTTCTGAATTTGGATGAAGACTTAGGACATCAAAAGCAAGACAGAGGTCACACAAGGCGAAGGGGTTCAATGCAAAGTGCAAACACGATAGTTTCATATCGACAGGCTGTTACTGAAGCACAGAAATGACACATTACAGCAAGACAGGCTGAAGAGGACGGGTTTGTATTTCACTCATACTGAAGATGTAGGAGCGCTAAATATGGCTAAAAGTAGTGACGCCCAAACCTGCAGCACATTGAGAGTACTAGATTATGAGGATGTTGAACCCATCTCATTCACATACCCAGTATTGCCTTGATTCTTCATACTCAGCAGTCTGACAGAGGTGCAGAATTGAGAAACACTTTACAAACGATATCTTCCTCTAAACATTCAACAAGGCAGAGTTAAAGAATCAATTGGAAAACTCAAAACAAAATATGGAAATATGGAGGCCGGTTGTGAATTGAAAAGCATCCAAGGTAAAGGCAAGGACTTACGTTTTAAAATTGGTGAACATTTTCAGGCAAGACAGCAGTAAATTATAATAAAAATGAATAAGCCAGCAGCCTGCTTGCTGTGGAAGTCATCTGTCAGGCCTCAATAATATATATTATGTTCAATGACAAGAATATTTCAAGTCTCACTAAAAGGATAAAAACATTTCACAGAACCAAACTCCACCTTAAAAGGTCGATCACTGTAAGACACTTAATCCACAAAGTAGCAACGACCTGCAACACAGGTCACATAATCAGGCCACAAAATAACATTTACAAACCTTCATATCATTTCCTACAAACTCTGCTCATGGTTCTCTCACATCCAGTCAGGTAACATTAGCAAACCAAGATTATCTGCATGCAGGAGGAACCACTCAGCAGGAACTAAACAACAGTGATGTGAACAGCAGCCTGTGACTGGAAATATATATACTTCTATACTTTATATCAGAAAAGGACTTGAAACAACGCATGCTTAGTAAAGTGAAGGGGTCGAATACCGGAGTTCAGCTCTTTGGCCTCACACACACTTGGAACCACGTCGGTCATTTAAAACCGTGAACAATGAGATGTCTCCATCAGTAGAATATTGAATGTCAGTAGCGGCTTCCTCAAAAGTAATTTCCTCCACACAACAGCAGCTGAAAATCTGTGACATACATAACGACTAAAGTGCTTCAATGTGTAAACACTTTATACATGCAAGCAGGTGGGAGACCAAAGATTACATTGTGTGCGTGTGTGTACCGTCTCCTGCTCTACTGTGTGTGTGTTTCTGTTGTGCACGCGAGTGTGTCAGTGGCATCACTTCTCCTGCAGCAGGGCGGGGATGTTGATGTTCCAGCCGATGGCCTGCCGGTCGAAGCCGCAGGTGAACAGGTTGCAGGACTGGTTCTCTTCATTCCACGTCGTGCAACACACCATTCGCCTGTGACCCTGCTCACACACACACACACACACACACACACACACACACACACACGTGTCCACGTTTTACTGCTGCGCATTGATCCGACGCGCACCTTCCCTGCTGCTCTGTTCCCCTCCTCACCATTCTGTTGCTGCGTGGGAGTCTGGCCAGCCTCACTCCGCTCATGTCGAACAGTCGGACCTGCCGGTTGTCGTGTGGCAGAGCGATGATCCTCTGGTTGGCAGAGACGCTGATCCTAAAAGGTCACATCAAGGGCGCATTTTTCTTCATAATTACATGGAAACTCTACACCTATATAACCTCGGTCTTGACTTTTACGTTAGCGTTTGAGTTATCGTGTGTTTTTAAGGACTAGATTTTAAATAAATCAAGCAAAAAAAAATCACTTTCTACTTGTGCAAAAACCAACAAGACAACAGCTGTAACCCTTGCTCTTGCTCTTTATTCCTCGCTGGCATTCAAAATAATTACTGATTTAGGGGAGAAAAAAAAAAGAGACATTTCCAGCACAGCAAAAACTGACAGCTGATACGGCTCACAGCACTAATAATCATCAATCCCGTTATTAATGAACTGTACTAGTTAACTTTTTCCAGAGACTCCTAAAACTTATTTTTTTCTGAAAGCAGACAGAATCATACATATTAAGTTAAAAACATCCGTTAGTCTATCAGGAGCCTGAGAACCTCTGAGCCACCGGTTACTGCTCAGAGCTCAGCGACAGAGTAGCAACATGCTGATCCTTTATTCCAGAGACCAATAACGGCCCTTTAATATTGAGCATCTACTCTAAATGTACATCACTAGTGTTTCACCCACCTGTTCACTGCCGAGTCAGTGCGAATGGTTGCTATTGGCGACCTCATGTTCTTCAGATCCCACACCTTGACCGTGCGGTCGTCACTTCCCGAAACTACGTTGTCGCCCACCGTGAAGACCGCCGACGTCACCGTGCTGCAGGGAGACAAACGTGGTCAAACGGAGGACTGTTGATTCACAAAGAACGGTGACACTCTGCCTTGTGTGTGTGTGTGTGTGTGTGTGTGTGTGTGTGTGTGTGTGAGAGAGATGGAGGTTATTCACACCGTGCACGTCATCCAACTGAATGCACTGACGAGAGTTGAGAGAAAAGTACAACTTAAGTCCTGAACTTGTTCCAACTTGGAGGAGCTCGGGGTGATCATTATTCATAGCCGGTCTCGTCACCTCCCCCACGGAGGCTGTAATTACTGAAAGGTGGGACGGATTCACACATGCGTCACAGCAGCATGTCGAGATATCTCACTAGAACCTCTGAGGACGTACCAGGTACAACATTGGGAAGATTTTAAATGTGATTCTTTGTTTTGAACTATTACCAGGTAACACCCTCCACTTCCCGCCGGATAAAACGCCACGTTGTCAGGATCACACGAACTCCTGTCACAAAGGTGTAACTAGCAGAAAAATTGGTTCAATAACGACTTGAAGGTCTTCATACCATCGAATGCGTTGGAGTTGTTAAGAGAGCTCGAGAGAAGGTTTTCCGTTATGCACACTAACTTTTACCTTCACTACAGCCATTAAAATAGACGTGGCTCAAACATCCGCATTAGACTGATGTCGGTCACAATGGGAATCAATCAGCCGCACTGATTTACGGCAATATTGGATTTTTACCTTTCATTTATGCAGATGAGGCATTGTGATGTGTCCTCTTGTTAATTTCTTTCCACATTCTGAACTAAATGCAGCTTTCAAATGAAACGCATCATCGTCTCCGTGTTCAATAACCCAACCAGCGCCTCAGTTACACCAAATTAGGTGAGAGAAACAAACCATGACCGATGGGATACCATATATGTATTTCAGGCTATTGTTCGCATAAGGCAAAGTTAGAGGTGGTCTTGGATGCGCCGTGTGATAAGAGCTGCAAACTTTGCATATCTTAAAAAGAAAAGACAACTTGCAATAGAGGTAATTTTCCCATGTAAAGCAGCCCAACTTTTTAAGCCTCCCAGGAGAGAACTGATACGATGACTAGTGATGCCAAATGAACAATAACTTCTCTTCATTGTACCGTTGGCTCGATGGTGGCAGAAGTGTTCTTTGTGTCCTCTGATGCCCTTAGTCCACACATGGAGCACCAGTCAGGCCCAGTAGCTCCACAGACCTCTAATACGGCCAATCAATTACTGTATGACACACGCATCTTACTATGAATTGACATGGCATTAAGAGCTAATTGGGGAACTAAACTTTGTCCTATTAGAGGGTCGGGGCTCGAGGAAACTGCTTTATCGTTAAAAGGCACCTTCTGACATTGCTGGGAACGGCCCACCGGGAATACAAGATGTAGAGGGGGGAGGGAGAGGAGGTGTGCGGGGAGGCTGATCAGACTAGGTAATTGATTAGAAGCTTGATTAAGGTTAAAGGCTTTTCGGAATGAGTGCTGAGGAGGGAGGGAAGTATTCAGTGTTGCTTAATGGCATTTCTGCAGTGTGTCTGACAGCCAAGGTCAAGACTTCCTGCGATCCGAGACAGCGGGGGGAGTAGAGAGGGGGAGTCATGGGATCTACAGTTCCCATTGAGGTGGAGCACAAGATTTCTATGCTTTTCAAACTGCTTCTTATACACAAGTGGACTCAGTGATGAGGTTTGATCGGGTAACTAGAAGGTGTGAGATGAATGAGATGATCAGACATGCATTCACTAGGCTTTCATCTTCATCCTCTTTCCCAGTGAGTGCTTTTAACGACCAATGTCGGAATTCAGGAAAACCCAAAGGAATATTACACTACACTGATTTGTAGGATGATGAGTGTGCAAGCGAAATGACTGCAAGGTAAAATGTTAATTAAACAATTCAGCTACAAGCGACAAAGAGGTTCCAGAGCCACCTGTTCCTCTGCTGCAGACACAGACAGTCTCTGAGAAAATGTTAAGTGCTGTTGTATTCCTCCACAGACAGGAGGACACACACGCACACACACAAGCAAATGTGCGTTCCCATCAACTGTAACAAAATGCCTCGAAAAGCCGGCGATGTCCGGAGAGACAAACGTGACATGGCACTCCGTCTGCAGAGCGAGCGCGCTGTCACTTCTCGTTTGCTCTCGGCTGCTGCGTTCGCTCTCGGGCAGTTGTCATTACTCTGCAATTACGGCGTTGGGGTGGGATGGAGGGGGTGTGCTGCGCTTTTAGTCGCCACGGTTCATTGACAGGAAGTGTTTGCCGTAATTGCCAGGGAGGACTGTGGGAACAAGAGGCAGCTCTCAGCCTCTGCTGCCTGTGACAGCGTCCCCACCGGCCTCCTCGGCTCGGAGACGCCGCCGCCGCCACCGCTGCTGCTGGAGATTGTGGAAAATGAGCGACGGAAATGGCACAGAGGCAGAAAGCGGCTGTGGTGGAAGAACCCAGTAAGGATAGAAGATAGAGATGAAATTCCTCTTTTCATGATTTTCATCTTTTCTTTGAAAAACGTCATCCCTGGTTCTAAATGAGGATTTCTGCTGGTAGAACAAAAACTGCTTTGTGAGATCATTTGTTAATGAAAATAGTCGTTAGCCATTAGTTTAAGTTGTTAGCTTTGGAAAAAGCTACAACAAGTAGTCCCTTACTCACTGCGTCATCTACACAACAGTCATCTTTCTACTGAATAATCCCTGTTGTTTGATTTTTTTAAGATAACAACACTTAAATGTTTCCAAAAGGTGTCAAATGAGGGAATTTGCTGCCTGAGTAAACTGAATATTGTTATATACTTAACTTAAAGATATTCAAAGACATGCATTATACAGTATTATATTATAATTATTTTGATATTCTGTGGTGCAACAGATAAATAATAAAATAATAATAATCACTTGCAGCCCTAGATGTTCAGTCTCTCAATGAACAATAAGCCCGTTCAGGTTAGTTACTCATTACCTCCTCGATTACATGACGCGTGTAGTGACAGCTCTACTCCAGAAAGTACTTCTTCCATCCTTCTAAAAACTTCACATGTGGAAGTTTGCTGCTATAAACGCATCACAGAAGCAATAATAAGAAAGTTTTTACTTTAAAGACGATGGCCATTCACAAACAAAAGCAGAATGGAGGCCGGGGAGGAGGGCGGCTGTTCACTGGGAAACACTGGTGCTTAATCTCATTATAGCAATTGTCTACAGGAGAGAATTAGAGTGGGATCTGCAGGAATTATACATGTTGGGGTCGCACATAATGAGCTCTATGTAATCCCCCCACTTGCAATCAAAAGGCCGGCCATAGAGTGCCAACCAGCCAGCACACACATGTAGACACACACACACACACACACACACTCTCTTTTCACCCCTCTTGAAGAGCGCTGCAGACGAGCCTTACCGTCATCATTTTGATATAAGCGTCTGCAATTGAGTGTTAACAGCGAGCAAAGTGTCAAATTATACAGAGTGGCGGATTAATGTGGAAACGGACAGATAAATGAACAGGAGAGCGAGGGAGGGAGAAGGAGGGAGAGAAAAGAGGAGAGAAGGAGAGGCAAACTATCAAAGTGAGGAGAAGTGCTCAGTACTGAATGGAGGATTTGGCTTGAAGCAATTGGGTTTGTAAATTAATGTGGTACTGAAAAAGGAGAAAAAGCGGAAGGTTCGGGAGGGATTCGCAGACCAGAGAGGTGTTACAGCGCCACCCTGTGGGAAAAATAAAGAGTGCAGCAACTCCAACCGTTGAAATGTTGACATGCTTATAAGAGAGCCACTCACTCAGTGTGTCCCTGGAAGACGTTGACAGAGTGTATGGAGGGGTCTCTGAAGTCCCACAGTCTGAAGGTGGTGTCTCTGGAGGAGGTGACCACCAGCCGCTGGGTGGGATGGGTGCAGCAGTGGGTCAGCTCCTGGTCGTGTCCTGCACACACAGACACACATGAGTAAGCCTGCTGAACTCTGTGGGTTTGTTCTCCAATACAATGGGATGCTCGGTCGCTACAGTAAGAAGGAATGTATTTAAAGTATAGGAATAGACACAATCTGGTCATTACATTTTGCTAACCAAGTCCTGCAGCACAGACTGCTTGGACAGGATTAATATGTGTAGTCAGAAGTAAAGGAAACAGTGTTGTCTTCCTTATTAGTCTGGGAAACCAACAGCAAATACAGCATCTAACTGCTCTGTACAATGAACCAGCAGCCCACTCCGTCTGCCATTTGAGCTCAGAGGGCACATTTCCCTCTGGACTCATGATGCAAATCATCTAGCGACACCACAGTGTGCTGTAGGCACCGCTTTTCAGGAAACAGACATTTTAGATTAGATTAGATTAATTTCAGGAAGATTCAGCCGGGTTAAACTTGAAATGAGACGAAACTGTGGTGTAACTTGTTTCATGTTGGACTGCCGACAATGAGAAGGATTTGGCTCACAGCTGACTGATTGACACCATAACATGACAGAACAAATGTGATGACATAATTACCTACTTATGAAAAACATACAAATAAACAAAGGATACGTTTGTAAATCACATACACCATATTCGGTTGAATACATACACACACTATGATAGCCAGTTTACATACCAGTGAGCGCATGAACCAGTTCAGACGTCTCCACCTCGTACAGGTTGGCAGCCCGATCCCAGGAAGCGGTCACCACTTGCCGGCCTCCCACCAACCAATCAGCTGCGATCACTACGCCCTGGTGGCTCTTCATGGTCGCCGTAGCGAGCCGGACGGTGGGGACCTCGCAGGGGCCCTCGCCGTCCACCTCACCTTCTTCTCTGTCCGACGAGTCCTGGTCGTCATCACATGGAGCCTATCGGGGGGCAAAACAAGAGACACAGAGGTTGAGGCGCCTGCAGCGACACAGTAAAACAGACGGTGACATCCAACTCTTAAGAGTAACAGTTCATCTCGGAGTTAGTTCTGGCGATAGATTTGCCACGGGACATTACGTGGCCAATTTCTTCTCATTACTCCACAAAATCCCAGGATGCTCCAGTAGAAACGCAGCGAAGAGAAGAGGGCAATTTAAAGATACTCACACTGACATCTGGTGGTGGCTGGGGGGCAGGAAGCTGCACCATGTAGCGCCAGATGTGAGCTGTCTGGTCCCCAGAGGCTGCGGAAACATAAGTACACGATCCATTCAGGTCTAAAGAAGAGGAAGTGCTGGAGACCTCAGGAGGAGACGGTCAAATGCTCACAAACACAATTAAGATGTTGTAACAAGAAATCTAGCTAATCCATCACAACAAATACGCATCCGTTTAAATACACACCTGTGAGGGCCATCTGCTCTGTGGGGTGGAACTTGATGGAGTTGACTGTGGGCCAAAAGTGAGACAAGTGGGACAAACTGGTTTTATCCAACAGCGTATGTTTTAGATACTCTCGTTGTGCACTTTGGATTGTCTGCCTGCTTGAGGACAAATACAGGGATTTAGGGTTTTTTACTGATTATTACCTGATCCTGCATGGCCAGCATACCTCAGCAGACATTTTCCTGTCTCTATGCTCCACAGCAGAGCTGAGTGATCTGTGATGGACAACATGAAACCAGTGACTCTTTAATGGTAGTCAGGAATGATTTAACATAGTAATGTGATGTAATTACACGGTGCGTTCCCTCATCAGATTCAGTTAAGGGACGCTTTATGGTGTCAGGGTTCAAGTTTTGAATGCTAAAAGCTAAGGGGATTCCCAATTAATGTAACAACCTATAATGATATGACAATTTCAAGTGTGTAAGACTTTTACTTTTGACCATTTCTGCTTGTTGGAAACGGCTCTATGGCACGCGGGACGAGTATAGAAAGTTGATGCAGCGATTGACATTGGAATCGGCCGTAAAGCGACTTGTACCTGCGGAGGCGGTGCCCAGGACCACCGGCGGGGTGCGGGTGATGCTGAGATCCCAGATGCCGTCCCGGTGGCCCACGTACTCCTTGAGCAGCTGACACAAAGCTCGAGAGCCCGCGGTGGCTTTAAAGCTGGACACGATCTGCAGAGGGACGGAGGGAGGAAACATGAGTATGATGAGAGAAGGCAGAACCCCGACTAACCCTAAGGGAGGCGCGAGCATTCCTCCTGGCGCCGAACCAAAGCAAGAATGTGGCTTGAATTAGAAGTCAAGTTAAAGTTACGTAACTGCAGGTGCACTGATGCAACCTTTTCAGTTCAACCAGATTCAAGCGCTCAGTTAGAGAAACTAATGTATTAATTGTGTTTGATAACATAATTGAAAGCGGGCCAGCGGGTTGGATTCGCGCTGAAGAAAATCATCCCTATATAATCTGTATATATCCATGAAATCTTTTGTTTTTTTTCAATGGGGATTATGTCACAGATAGAAGGAACCCCCATTTGCATAATAAGTCCAGTCTAGCTTTAAAACAAACGGAGGGATGGTTTCCACTAATGAATGGCAATAACATCTGCATATTAATTATGCAGTTAATTGACTCTGTTCACTTTAAATGCATAATGCATTATAATTTTTATTATTATCATTAATCAGCCTGCACGCAATTAGTGGATGATTCTGGAACTGCCAAAGGACTTATAATTTAAAATTACATCAGACTGCCATTTAAGTATTAAAATGAAGCTGCGCTCATGGCAATTAAAGTGTCAGTACAAAACAGATCCCTTTGTGATGTTGCTGGATCAGAGGTGCACCTCCAAAACACACTTTTTCAATAAAAACAAATGAAAAGGGAACAGTAGTTTGAAAGCGGTCACAATATGTAAGGTGCATTCAGCTGCAAGCAGACCGCTGACCAGCCATAAACTGCCATCACTGGTCATTAGACGCAGCGGCGCGGCATCCGGTTCCTCTGTCTGAGACTGTTAACGGATTCTCTCCTTATGCGCTGAGTGTTTGCATTCACATTAGAGAATAATACCACGTTTTGGTTTTCTCGGTGAAGCACAATTAAGAATGAAGAGAACTTTGCGTCCCAGTGCGGGTCCATCCAGTAGTTGACCAAGGATAACGTGAGCGCGGATCATTAGTTTCAGTCTGAACAAACTGAGTTGTCGGTCATGTTTCTTAGCCAGCTGAAAGGTTAGCTGTGTATCATATAGCAGCTAGTTCTGTTAGTCTTCCCTTGATCTTGTGTATCCCCTCTATGTACGAGTTACCCACATGACACGGACAAAAATACTGTTTTATTCTTGTGAGAAATTGCCCTCTTTTTTTTCATACAAATGCATCCGTTCCCCCAAATGACTTCTGACAGGGTGCAGAGAAGAAAGGGGGAGTCACGGTTAGACTGTAGCTAAAAACAGACAGCAGCTGTCCCTCACAATGTCCAGTGACTAAACAAGGATCTCCTCCACACAACTCCCTCGTGGCCACATGGAAGCTGCGAGCGCCACCTTTTTTTTTTTTTTTTACCATGAAAGGTGTACAAGCGCTGCATCGGCAAGAGATTAAGAAGGAAGAAGTCAAGGGAGATGTCATGTTGTGATAAGATGCCTGAAATCGATTTTATTAACTTTAGTCCAAAAAATAATTGCACCTGAACTTCAAAAAACGAAATGATTCAACAGCAACATCTCATGAGCTCAGAAGAAGAGAAAAATACTTGGTCTGTTACCACTAACCCCCAAACCTAAAAACAATTACGCAGATGACAAATCTTATGGGCTGGACACAATAGGAGGGAGTAGCTGCACACAGGTACCTTGCTGGTAGAGGCTTTGTAGGTGGTTTTCAGCTTCTGTGACAGCTGACTGGTGCTGTGGCTGGCTGTGTGATGGAAGGACAGAGAACAATGACAGCGACTCTCATTGGGTCACAGTGCAGCACCAACAAAGTGTCAAAGCTTTCAGCACGCAGGGTTGTTTCTTAAAACAAGATCAGCTCTTTAACCAGACGTTCATCTGAGAAACAGGCTTTTAGCAAACGTTGTTCCATAGAGGAGGTTTGATACAGTATCTGTGTTACCATGGAAATGTGTCACTCCAGCTAATGCAGGTTTGGCTTAAAGGGAGTCTTTGAGGAGTCGTTGGGAAAGATGTTAACATGAGTCAGTTTGTGGTACATGACGTTCAAGCTTTGACACAATTTATAAGCCGGAGGTCAGATCTGCTGTGCAAAGCCGACATCGGTGTTTTTGAATAAACAGATTCAAATTAAGCAAGTAGTTGGGGATTAAAATCAGTTAGAAACTTAATTTCCTTCTTGTATTATTAACAAAAGTAGGATCAGTCAGCCTGAATGTTACCACATAGAGGCTTTTCTTAATGCCCACTTGGGCCACCCTGGAATAACATTTCACACGCAAACAATTTCAACATTTTTTGCCATTTAAGTCGACAGGCGCAGGAGCCTCCGTTAACTATATTGACACATGCGACACGTTGTGAAGGAAACACATTACCTTTAGTTTTCAAAGCTCCCTTGGTGGGGTCTCCTCCCTCAATAGCCTGTCCGTCTCCGGTCAGACGCTCGTTCAGAGAGTCGATTTCCCGGCGTACTGCAATGTGAGCACAGTCAGAGGTCATCACAAACCATCCGGTGACTCAGTCGACACCCGACGATCGATACAGTGAGCGTGCAACAGATCGAAAAGCATTTGCCAGACCCCTTCGATCAGTCACTCACGTTCCAGGTTTTCAATGTAGAGGTTTTCAAACTCGCGTTCTATCTGGCCAAAAAGGTCCAGGAGGTTGTTCCGCAGAGGGGGGGGCAGCTTGGAGTCCTGGACAGACAACAAAGAAAAGACTGTAATAACGCTGATGGTAAGCAGAGAAAGATCTACAAATAACATTACCACGAAAATCACATTATTGATCGAGTCCCCAGTTAAACTCCCACCAGACTCGTCTCCAGTGCTGTTCTCTTTTACATATAATAATAATATGTAATATTAACCCTTAATTACTGTTCATACCCAATGCCTTCACAGCAAGAATCCCCTCATAGTAAGTGTCTATTTCTATTTAGAAAGTCTGAATAGCCTATGGCTCATTTATAAATTAACAACATTTAAATACAAAAGAGCAGGCAGTGTGTATTTGTATGTTTTACAACAGACTATTACACATTATCATGCCCTGTTTTACATAAGACATAAAAAACATAAAACAACTTTAAGTGACTCAAACATGACACGCAACTTAAAATTGAAAACATCCCAAATTAATCTCATGTCAAACCCAGCCTGCAGCTTTACCAGATTTAATAAACCACCACGAATGCGTGTGTAAAAGCTCAGAGATATATTGTGCTACACAGCTAGAACAACACAACTAACTACCCGGCAGCAGGGTACTCAAACTCATCCCGACTGACTTACCTCCATGGTGGACTCCTGGAAGCACTCAGTGATCAGGTGACCACCGGTCTATACCAGACTGCCATGCAAAGAGACGTCAAGCTGCCATGAAAACAAAGGATTGAAAGGGCTGCATTTGACAGCTCGCTTTGAGAGCTGCTGCTTCCTTTAAGCCGCCTAAAAGACGAGGGAACCAAACACTCGAGCGTCGCTCTTTCTTATGTCACGGGTTCAAAACCAACTGTTTGCCACAGCGGCGTTTACCGCCTGACCATTCTGTCTGCACCCCGTGTGCACATACGGTCAAGGTCAATTAGCAAATAACAAGCAGTCTTTATGATTGCAAAGCTGCTTAGTTGTGGCCCTAAAACCTGCAGCATACCCAGCCAAATGAAAAGTTGAGGATGCATTCTTTGTGAAATATACAGGTTTATAAAGCTGTGTGTGTGCGTAACTTGCGCTGGGGGGTAGACTAGGTACATAGACAGAGCCGGCATGTCTTGGCAGTAGACAAAAAGGCCTGGTGAAAAGACTAATCAGGCCTGGACAAGCGGCCCATATTAAAACTTGATGAGACAACAGGATGATGCAGAGCGGCGCTGCAGATTCAGTCGCTGATAATTTAAGGACACTGTCGAGCAGAGAAAGTAAATGAAGAACTATTACGGGGAAAACTAGGTCTGTGCAATACTAGATTACTTCAATACTTTGGTAAAACAAATACAATCACAATAAAAGGCAAAGACAATAATGTCTCTGTCATTTAAGTAGATTGATCTCCAAGACCGAAACCCATGATAGCTTATCTAAGAGAGCTATATAGTTTCATTCAAGAGGCAACTCCCAAAAGTTAACAAGGATGTTCTTCTTGTTTAAAAAAGCCCATTTTATTATCGCCGTAGTGAAGAAGCTTGACAGTTTGGCACAACAGGCATTGACCGCTCACGTAAAGGCTCACAAAGAAAGAAATCAATTGTAGCTCTATTTGAAAGAGCTCGGCTGGGAGATTGTTAATCATTAACCTGATCATTAGTGGCCTTAAAAAGTCACAGTACATCCCTTTGTTTTAACCAAAAGTAATCAGTAACCAACATGCGCATCCAAAGCAGCCAGTTTATAAAAGCTGGTACTGTACTCTTGTGACGGAAAAAGAACATCCTCAGACCACAATTTAACCCCAATTAAAAGAATAAATAAACTATGACTTCCTGGTATGTATTTTTGAGCAGCTACACAACAATAGTAAAGGCCAAGTTGACAGATCGTGTTATTTCATGCCGCATACGCAGCATTTTTTCCCCCAAAATGCTTGTCTGCAGCTGTCGGCTGAGCATGTGCGAGTGTGAGGACGAGGCGGTCCGTGCACATCCCTCACCTGTCCCTCCAGCATGTCTCCTCTCTGGAAGCCGGGCAGCCGGTCCTCTATGCTGTTGGTGCGGCGGATGGACAAACTGTGAGCCTTACGCTTCTGCTTGGGGTGTCGGGCGGCCGAAGCCGAGCCGCTGCTGCTACCACCTTCCACAGGCATCCTCCTACCGGCGAGGGAGGGCCCGGCCCCCCCCTGCTCACCTCTCACCTGGGAAGCAGGTAAACAAAGGCCAGGCCCGACGGCTGGCTGGTGGGTGGATGAGGCTGGTCTGTTATCACCACCTTTTCTGCAGATTAAAAAAAAGGGAGAGATGTTCAGGTTCACGGCCGTTGCAAGAGGTGTGAGGGAACTAGTTGGGTCAAGTAGTTCCCTCACACCTCTTCTGAAAAAACTAAATTCCAAAATATAGAACGTTATATTTTTTTCATTTATTGCTGATTTTCTTACTGTTACTTTTTGGAACCTGAAAGCAACATCTTTCTAATAAACTCTCCTTTCGGATCTTCTAACATACATGTGCATCCCAACATGCTTTCTGACGTTGCATTCACACTATTGGAGTTTATCCCCACGGTCTTACGTGCCAATAGGACGACACGTTTGGGGATGCACGGTTTATGCACCGCAGACCCGAGCTAACGCTAGCTTAGCGTTAAATAATTAAAAGGACGTAAGAGGTTTTTTCAGCATTTATTCAATGTTAAAAAAAATAACCGAATGCTACTCACGATGTACACAATGCTTGAAGAATTAATATTTTACGGCTTTCTGACCCTGGCCGATATGATTCTGACTCAATACTAATATAATACCCACTCAGCTCGGTCACTGCTTCAATTCATCAACCCGCACTGATGTCTGAAAAAAGCAACCAACCACTGCTGGTTGCCAATGCTAAATGTCTCTATCTATCTTTGTGGCATCAACAACATGTTACCTAACCATTGTAACACCAACCCGCAGCTAACGAGCATCAGCGTCGGCTAACGTTAACAAGACATGAAATGTAGCATTAAAATCTGTGGGTTCGTTTTTATTTTATTTGTTATGTTGGAGCTCTTTTCGTCGTATGTCTTTTGACAGTGAACAGTAATGACACGCTACAGTTTGACAGTGATTCCTTTTCCGGGGTTTTTTATACGAATTTTGACACATCACGTATTTTATTGGTGCACCTACTTCCGTATTACGTGGTTAACATTTGTTAGCCAATGGGCTGTCACGTTGCTGCTGCGGCATCCAATGAAAACCCGTGACCTCAGAAGCAGGTAGTGAAGCTAGGTGGTTCGACCACAGTAAAACACCGTCGTAAACAAGCGCAAAATACGTTAAAAGACGAGATTCATCCACTTGGAGAAGAATAATTGTTTTGTAAGTAAATTAGCGTTTTACTGTTTTCTCCGCAGGTTGTACATATAGTAGACAATGCTTACGTAGGTTTAGCTGTCAGAGGCCTGGGTGGAGCGGGTTGTGCCGCGCAGTGGTCTGATGGCGTGTTGACGATCAGTGTTGACGCAGTGACGCGGAGTGGAATAAGCTGGAACGGGACAGTACACGTTTACGCCGAATGCTCTCATGTTAATGTGTCGGTGATAGTTAAATTATTTTTAAAAATGCAGTAAAAAAAACAGTATCATCACACTCACAGGGGCCATTTCCCTACATTGAGTAAACTATTTTAACACAGTAAACATTTATATTTAATCAGCTGTATGAAGCAAACAAACAAGTTCCAGTTTATGAAAAGTAACGACAGGATTCTGTCTTTTTGTATAAAATTGTTGGAGGAACAGAACAGGCTTTTTAATAGATCAGTCAATTGAAACAATTCAGCGCTCAACCATTAATGCCGACTCTACTTAGTTACTTAGTTACAGTTAAGTACGTGTGTACGCGTTCCGCGTTACAGCGCTCAGTCTTTTAACCTTGGAAAACTAAAATGTTCTTAGCGTCCATTCTAAGTCGCCGCGTGTCTCCCGATCCTGACTCGCTGGACTCCAGTCCGGCTTTTACCGACGCCCTCACCTTCAGCCCCTGTGATTGGTTTTCACTTTTGGTCAGGCGATGGTGCGGGGCGTGTGGGCGGTGCTGCGGATGGTGTCTTCCGAGGGGGCTGCTGTGTTGAAATCAAACAAACCTCGCGCTGGTGGAAGTGCTGCACTACGGCTGCGGTTTACCTACGAGCCTCTGACTTCCGGCTGCAGAGCTATATCGAGGTAAGCTTCTGAGTTTAAAGAGCGCAAAGCCAGAGAGCAGCCCGTTTACCCGAGGCTGAGAAATGGCGTTTGTCTGCGCTTTAACGTCAGAGATCTGAGCTCCACTGAGTCCTGCAGCACTTATTATATGTCGTTATTTCTAATGCTAAATGCTAACTTTAAGTTTCTTTAAAAACGACTCCTGCTCTTTAGTGGATTTGAATCATGTTCTCATAATGCACCGTGTAAAAACTACCATCACAATTACTGGTCAAATAACTGCAGTAGCGTTTCTGCAAAATAACTTTGATTGGTTGATTTATTTCCTTCATTATGAAAACAAAATTGCTTCTCAAATAGTACTATTGTGTTTGATTATAATTGGAAATATATTATTTAATCATAGTGTCCTTTGCAATGTGTTGATCACAGAGGTATTATCATCTACATGGCCGTATGTATAAAAAGTAATAAATGTGTCTAGAGAAGGCCCCGCACGCCATAAAAAGCAGTTCCGAACATCATATGTGATGTGAATATGGACTAAATCCTCCAATGTTGTCCTTGCAGCAAGGCGGGAGCCCTGCGGTCTGCAGTCAGAATGCCCGAGATAACGGACCACCTGGACGAGAAGCAGGTCCGGCTGTTGTCGGAGATGTGCATCGTCATCGATGAGAACGACAGCAAGATTGGTGCGGACAGCAAGAAAAACTGCCACTTAAACTCAAACATCGATAAAGGTACCCTCAGCTTGCTTCGGGCGCACATACCTTTTTGTTTCAGCTTTGTCGTTGTGGTAATTGGTTTTTGCCTGCCAGGTCTATTACACAGAGCGTTCAGCGTGTTCATATTCAACAGCGAAGAGAAGCTGCTCTTGCAACAGAGGTCGGATGCCAAGATCACATTTCCAGGTCAGGGAGGAATCCTCAAATCCTGCAGTTTACCCATATTCCAAAATACTCCTGTGGTCCACTGGGAACGGTAGGCACCGGCCAGGTGGTTAATCGACCCGTGTCTGCATGCACAGGCTGTTTCACCAACACATGCTGCAGTCACCCTCTACACACGGACAGCGAGCTGGAGGAGAAGGAAGCCATCGGAGTGAGGAGAGCTGCTCAGAGGAGGCTCCAAGCTGAGCTGGGTATCCCCATGGAGCAGGTATACTGTGGGTGTGTGTACTGAAATCGTGGCTGCTGTATGCAATGGACTAAGAACTATTAAGGGTTGTGGGTGATGCTTTCCCCTCAGGTGAAACCAGAGGAAATGACGTACCTGACCAGGATCCACTACAAGGCCCAGTCGGACGGTGTGTGGGGGGAACATGAGATTGACTACATCCTCTTCATGCAGAAGGTGTGTGTTTTAATGTCTTTTAAGAGTGGAGTTACATATGAGGAGATATGTATAATGTGTTTTCTGATTAATAAGATATATGGCAAAGACCTTCAACCAGTTTTCAAGTTGCCATTTTATTCCCTATTTGGATTACATCTTCTTGCCGTTTGATTGTGTTCCTGGATTGTGTCTCAGCTTCACATCCTTGACAGTAAAATCATTTTTCTTCTTCCAAAGAATGTGGAGTTGAACCCGGACCCCAATGAGATTAAAACCCACTGCTACGTGAGCAAGGAGGAGATGAAGGAGCTGTTAGAGAAGGCCAAGCGCAAAGAAGTGGAGATCACGCCCTGGTTCAGCCTCATTGCAGACACTTTCCTCTTCAAGTGGTGGGACGATCTGCAGAACCTTAAGAAGTACATGGACCACGACAACATCCACCGCATGTAGCCGAAACAGGCTGTCTGTCATTTCAGACTTGTGGTAGACGCACCTGCTTGACATGCACGCACCTCTCTGAAAGTAGCCTGCGATCTACTTTCCCCCAGGAAGTAGTACGTGTTGATGTGGTATTGTAGCTCTTTGAGTTGCATTCATCTATACAAGCTGATGCAAGTAAGGCAAGTCTTAGTCTCTAAGTGTTTAGTTCACAAATGGAGCATGGAATCAATTCTGGTAAGATGGATTTATAGAGTGAACTGTGAACATTCACATGTTAGTAGGATGCTAAGCGCGATCTTGCTATGGACAGCAAAATTAAGAGAAGAGGCTATTTTTATATTAAAACTTCAAAGCAGGGCATTAGACAACTAATATCACTTGTGTATTGTTTACAATTATATTAGTGAACAAGCTATGTCTTCGCTCTTTTACACAATAAAATAATTTGTTTGCAGTCATTGGCGGTAGATTTGTTTACATGGGAGTTTATACACTTATCAATGTGACCAATTTAAGAGATGCAGATATGACCTCAGTCAATGATTTGGTCTGATCAATAGCTCTAAATAGTGTGACTTGGTGTAGAAGTAGGTGGCAAGTCTGCCAAATATCAATAAGCTCACACAAGTCTGTCGACAACCTCAGTACATGTACTTAAAGTTGTACCCTTTGACCACTGAGTTAATACCATTCTACAACACAATCGCATTTATTGTCTTATTCATGTATTTCAATGACAAGGAATTGGGCAATTTGTATATTCAACTCTATTGAATAAGAGATTCTTTAATATTGATGTACTTTAAATTTGACAAAGGCACATTTCTATTACAGCAATAAGCTGATACAACATGATATTGGATGCATGTTTTATAGTTTATCTGCATAGATTTCAAAAAGCACTACGTAGCTCGTTTCTATGGCGACAGGATGTGTAATACTGACAGTCATATTTGGAATTGCTAGTCCTTGTCCAGGAACGACACAACGGTAAAATGAACCAAAAGTAACTGGCACAATGTTAGACCACCATCATGAGACTGGCACAATACAACGAGTATCACGATATTTCATATTCAAGGTATAAACAGCTCTGGGTCCACACAGGTTTATAACCTACAGGCAGAGTTTGGCATTTCATATAGTGTCAGGAGCAAAACATTAGATAAGTGCATAGGGAAGCAGGTGCACCCATTAACGTGAACAAGCTTCTTGGTTAAACATTATGCTACTAGCAGCGCTGCAGCGAGGACATAAACATTGCATATGGTGGAAAGGTCCACTAACTATAATAAGAGATGTACTTAGTTAAGCCACTTACTCATTTCTTAATGAGTCAAAGCCTTTAACAAAACTATTGTAACTCGATGCTAGAAACATGACAAACTGTAGCTGACTGGTTCACACACAGTGCATTGTGTCTGCAAGGAGAATTATCAAGCTTGTCGTACACCATTTTGTTTCAACAGGTACTTTAAAAACAATGGCAGCAAAAAAACGTTTTAAAAGTGTAATTTTCCGACCTTATGACGGAATGATTGTTTTCCATTTTTTAAATGCAGTCGAACTGAATAGCAGCTCAAATGAACACATGTGGATGTTCATATCGAACAAAAAATAGGTCTATTTTGACATTAAATACACAGTATGGTCAATAGTGTGGAGTTTTTTTAATGTCCTATGTGTGTTTCACTAAAGCTGCACGCTGGCATTTCCCTGAACTGGTGAAAAGAAAAAAAGGTGTGAAGTGAAAGTGAAGGAAGGACATCTGTCCAATTGGGTGATGAGGAGAAGCTGGGATCTGCAGGAAATGAGCTTGCTCTGTATCTGGTTTTGGCCTTGTGTTATCAGATGGTACCTGCAGCGGGTGGTGGAGCATTAGAGTTGGGTGGACTCTGCTTCATGGTAGTGAAGAAGTCCACCAGCTGACCTGGTACTTCTGCCAACACACTCTTGGCCAGAGCTTCTCGAGGAGCCTGGAGAGCAAAAGGGGGAGAATGTTTTTTTTTTCCTTTTTTTTGTAAAGGTTTGCCCCAGATTCAATTAAATGAGGGGATCATGAAGGAAAAGGAACGTCATGCAGATAAAGACCGTTGAAGGGAAAATTCCAACCCTCTTTGCTTTTCACTAGATTGACACGTTTTCTTGCAACTTCCGGAAGAGTTGCTTGTACTTGTTGCCCTTATAGATGGGAGTGTGTTGCAGCAGCGACCACAAATACTAATTAATGTAAACAAGAATACGTTTCGGAGATGGTTCACCAGTGCTTAATATCCTGTATTGATCATCATATCGTATCATCTCTCTCACTCAGCACTGATGATGGATCTTTAGCGAAACAAAGTTGGAAACGGTGGTGAGGAAGCAAGTGAAAAATGAGGACAGCAATCACTACATGCCATGATTCAAGCAGTGAGGAGTTATTCATATCGGCCAAGCACAGACTGGGCGGTGGTGACTTAGAATGAATATAAAAAATATATATTTGAAGTACCCCTATGAAGGATTTGGATCATGGGGAGGCTTCAGTTTGAATAAACTGAAGAAGGAGGCCACTTGCTGAGGTAACTCGGCCAATACGCTTTGGGCAAGAGCCTGTCTGGGCGCCTGTAAAGAGATGAATACACAAAGGCACACCGGTGAGCTAAGTGAGATCGCAGCGGATGCCGGAGTTTGAATCGGGACCCCATACATTAGGTTTGGATCGATCATGTTGAAGCTAGTTAAACCAAAAATGATGCAGTGAAATGCCCAGAAAGAGAGTTGGAAACACATGCAGTTAAAGAAAACAAAAGCAAATCAGTGCTATAAAACTGTCTGTTTTTTTTCCACTGCTACGTACATTTTGGAACTGTCGGTACGGCACAAACTGGACGATGTCTCGCATGGCGGCCTCGCCAGTCTGAGAGCGCAGACGTCCGTCATCTCCGTCCAGGAACTCCATGGCGCTGAAGTCGGCCCCGCCCACTCCAATAATTATGATGGACATGGGCAGACGAGAGGCGTTGACGATGGCGCCGCGTGTCTCATCCATGTCGGTGATCACTCCGTCAGTGATGATCAGCAGAACAAAGTATTGCTTCGGGGAGACGGCAACAACAGAGGCAGCAGATCAATGGCTGGAATGGCTCAACGCGTTACAGATAAGCAAAGAACAGAGAAACAATTTATTTGCTTCTGTAGTTACATGAGCTGCATGAAATGAAAGAAAAGGAAGTAGAGTAAATCGTTTGAACTCACAAGGATTCATTTGGTAATGCCTGTCTGGGCCATATCAATCTAAAAAACTATGAGCCTGACGTCTGAAAACAGCTTAAGCAGGTAATCACTGATTTTATCATAAAACTCCTGTTGTTCTGGACAATATGGAGTTTAATGCACCATAGGGAAATGTATGCACAAAGAAAACAAGTACTGAAAGGCTTTCCTGTCCCGACCAACGGGGCACACAGAATGTTTACTGCAAGTGTTAATGAATAGCACAACAAGCAGTGCAAGGGTCAAATTTAACTTCTTGTTTTCAACCAAAATAATAATAATGATAAACCTGGAAGGACAGTCTTCCTGAGTAAATCATTCATACTTATCTTAAATGATGGTCCTTGAACTGTTAAACATGGAGTCTCTGTATCACTTGTGATTGTGTGAACAAATACTCACTGACGCAGTGGTCTGCTGGAGGGCTTGCTTAGCAAAGCAGGCCACATGGTTGATGATTGGGGAGAAGTTGGTGGGGCCGTAAAGTTTGACCTGTGGCAGACACACCCTGTAGGCCTCCACCACACCTTCAATGCCTACACACAGACACCGTAGGGATTACACATGTGTAAATAACCGTGTGAAGTTACATACAGCTTAATGATCTGTATACATACCAGCACAAAATGGATCTGCTGGGTTGAAGTTGAGAGGAAACTCGTGGGAAACCTAGAAGAAATAACAACATCAGATTTCAGTTCCTGTTCCCAAACAGCGGCCGCGTCCTGGTCGTGCATTTTGGAGTTTTAACAATTACTACCTGCCATGTGGGAGGGACTTGTGCTCCAAAGCCAAAGGCAGGAAACCTCTTGTCACTACACAGGAGGAGAAAAACCGCAGTAGTCCATTTGTGACAATATTTGTAAATTAAACCCATTCCATACAGAGCTGGCATAAAGAAAGACAAGCTAGGTTCCAAATACAGATCCTTCATTGTGACATCGCAAGTCAGGAAAAGCTTTAGATACAAATAATGGGGAACTTTGGGGATGTGGTATTTCCTGAAATTTGGAAGCGATTCAGTTTTGAATGTACCTGTCGTAGTCCTGGATGACGTTGCCCACAGACCAGGTAGCAGAGAGGTACTCGTTGACGCCCTGGGGACTGATGTAATGCAGAGACTGAGGAGACTTGGGATCCCCGTTGGACCCCGTGAAGTCAATAGCCACCTGCAAGAAACATTCAGGGTCCCGGCAGACATGCAGAGCTTATTAATGCGCCATGGATACAAATTAATAAAAACTGGCATTAATAGGAGGAACCAAAACTTACGGTGAAGTTGATTTGACAGCCTCCCATAATATAATCTAGGAAGGTGTACTCCTTCACCACCTAAAAGATTAGTATAACCTATTAGAGAGCAAGAAATCTCAATTCAAAACCAAACAAAGCCCAGGAAGGTTCCAGCAAGTGAACCCATTCAATAAATCAGCTGTACCTGGCATAGCTTCACGCTCACAACACCAGAGTTCTTGTATCCTTTCTTCTTCTGTTTCTTTTTACTGTTGACACATTCAAACTCAGCCTGAGGGTAGAACACAAAAGCGTGGGTGTGAATGAGAGCGGCGGCTTTAAATGGGTAAATGTTGTGCATTTGTTGCTAAGAACACTAGTCGGTGCTCTGACGTGGAGTAATTCACACAAGGACTACCAGCAGAACCTAATCCAATTATGGATTTCAATAATATTTGAAATTTGTTACACACCCAAACAAACAATGTAAAGACGCAGAGACACGCACATACCGGGGACGTTCGTGACGCTTGTTGAAAGCGCGTCATTGTAGTCTCAAAGGCTCCAATAAGATCATGTGAGCCATCGTTGTCGTAGTCATAACACTCCACCTGGAAAAAGGTTAACATTTATTTTTTTTAAACAATATTATTTACACAATAACAAATCTGTAAAATCAGTTTGAAAAAGGTTCCGTTCACAAAAAACAGACAAAATATAACGCAGACTTCACCGCGGTGATGAGTTATTTTTGTATGTGTGAACGTACCCCCCTAGCTTACTACACAGTAAACTGGAGATGTAGAAAACATAAGAGACAAAAACATGCAGAAGTGAGATCCCAAACTCTTTACAAAAGCGCTCTTTGTAATCGTAGACAGAAGCGGAAGAATGTGTAGTTTCAGACAAATGCGTTTAATGAGCGGATCGCATTGGATGAGGGAAACTTGGAGGACCTGCAACTTTACTCAGGCGCGTATCCCCGCTATCTACTCCACCAATAAGTGATCGCAGGATGAATGACGACAAACACTGGAACACACTGGGTAACTCACTTGGACAGTACGGTTGAAAACAGCTTCCCTCTTGAGATGAGCACTTCAGAAGTTCAAAAAGTATACATCATCAAGCTAGTACTGAACAACAAGGTTTTCAGAAATCTGAGAGAGCTACACAATTACGGTCGCAGAGCTACCATTATATCCCAACAGTGAAAAAACACAATGCCCCTCAACTAAAAGGGATCACGGTGGCAGTTTAAATAAACCCATTTCAGTAGGTTAGGTAAGAAGATGTATTTAGGTACTTTTATCGGTTTCTCCAGGTCTGCTCCGCACAGCGATTGCAGGGGGATTCGAAAGGGTTTCCATGTCGGATTCAAGTTGTTGTTCACCACCTGATGACAGAATTCATGAAAATTATACATGTGCAGATTACTCCATCAAGAAGAAATTGTGCAGATTCCTAAAGGTGACTGAAATTATATTTGATATTTTTGCAGTGAAAAATACTGTCAATGTGTTTTTAAAACGCATTTTGTCTACTAAAAATGAAAAGAATGAATTAGCATGAGTAATGTCACTAAAGTGTCTACCTCGGTCCTGTGAGCCAGTTGCCATCCAGTTGCGGTCTGCTTGTAGAATTCCAGGTAAGGGTCGGACTTCCCAAAGAAATCCTGTAAACAAATAGAGTAATGAAACCCGACAATAAGCATAATGTACCTGAATATTTGAAAATGAATAACAGCATGGCATATTTCTAAAAGGATGAGCCATACCTTGTTATCTAGTTTCCTTGCTTCAACTTCAAAATTCACCACCCGGTTATCTTTTATTTCTTCTGCACTGATCTACACAGAAAATAAGACGAATTACAGGAGAAAAAAAAAATAGTGACAGCACTGGCACATTTATCTGTAGTTCTCTCCGTCACTCACTGTGATGGTCCCTTTTCCTGCAGGCGTCTTGTTCTTCAAGACAAGGGGTCGGGTCAGTTTTTTACTGGACACGACCTAAAAGCAAATACAAAAGTGATTAACAGAGAGGAAGCAGCAAAGATAAGAGCAATGGATGAGTGAGACACAGCAGCCTCCTGACAGCGGAGTAAACACTTCCAACAACCAGGCAGAGGAAAGATCTGGGGTCCGATTACCGCTCCCATACAGCCCTTCATCTGCAACAGTAGCTGGTTTTCACAGTGCATGACGTGTCCTGAACCGGTCTGGCCGAACGAGCTGCTCCCTTTTTGACTTTTGAATTGTTTGACTAATCTGTAGTTTTGGTTGACTGAGATTTCTACAGCCAATGGAGTCTTTCTTTTAAAAACGTTTTCATGCTCAATATTTGTCCATACATTTCTTAAAAATTACTCATTAAGTGGTACTTTCGTGTAATTCTTTGTGGAGGAACTCAGATTTTCAGATGGATTATGATTAACTCATTTTTTAGAGGGTTAGTTGACTAAGAATTACTTTGGTCCAGGAAAGTTATGTAAGTTTAAAATGTCTTTATACTGATTCGAACCATTAACGAAGATGTACAAACTTTGATTGGTGAAACTTAAAGTAAGCAATTGAAACATAAACACTTACCTGGCCCAAGGTGCACTCCAGTTGCCCCAAGAAGTCGTCGTCACTCAGATCAACAGTTTTGTTGTCGATGTCATAAATCCCGAACTTCAGTTGCTGCACTATTTCAAAGTAGTAGTCGATGACAAATTTTTTTGCAAACCTCGGGCACAGGCAATTCTGGACTTTCTCCGTGCGGCCCACCTGTTACAGAAAATCGGACAGCTTTATGCTTTGCAACATGCAACAACAGTGCTACATGTCAAGATCCTGAAGAATGAACCACAGGCTGAATTGGCAAACATGCACTGAGAAACAAGAAATGAACATTAGCACTTCTGCTTTCCACAACACAGATTTTTCTATCCGTAGTTAACGATTAACACGTAATGCGTTTGCTCTTTCAGGGGCTGCAGTGACATCACGGGCCACGCCTGATCCGTTTGTCAGAGCAAAATTACATTTCCCCAGTTGAATCCAGATCGTTTACTGACCTCATACCACTGGGAATCGGAGCTGTTCATCAAAAGCACGCACAGCGGGTCGGACTTGGAGCCGATGTCTTTGTCCAGGAGGTTCTCACAGGACACGGTCAGCTCCACCTTGGTCACACACTGGGTCGCCATGTCTGACCACGGGCTGTCTGATTGGGAACGAGATGGAGAAGTGACACCTGGGGGGTATTCCAGAAAGGAGGTTCAACAAACTGAGTCTATCCCTGAACTCCGAGTTGACTTACTCTGAGACGGGAAACTCTGAGTATCCGGTTCCAGAACAGCTGATCTGTGTTAGTTCAATCAACTGAGTATGTTCACCTTGAGTTAAGCGCGTGCATGACGATTATAAAAAGTCATCATCAATGGAGCCCCGATAGCACGAGTCACCACGACAACAGTAAATAAAAGAGCAAGCTATTTCACTGCGATTTAGTTGGAGGTCCTTCTCCACTGCGTGGGGAAAAATTGCTGCCCGAGTCAACGCGTAAGTTTGAATGTACTGTTCCATTGACATAACTTTTAACTTTTAAGATCGTCGCAGCCTATAGTTATGAATATAAGTAGGAATGTAATCGGATTTTCATTTTAGGTGCAATCCAACAGGGGAAAAAAGGACCTGGAAGCAGCTAAAAATGAAATCTAAAAACATAGTTAAAGGTATGGCATATATTGCTATGATTGCACCTCACTTTAATTTTAATTAATTTTCTTTAATTGACTTAGGCTATTAAACTAAGTAAATATTAATTCAGAGGCAACTTGAAATAGTAAATTAAACCCCTAACAAAATGTTGTTTTTACTGTTGTTGGAAATGGGCCTATACACCGATGTAGATATTCAATTCAAAACCAGATGTTTCCACCTAGAATAGTCATTTACCACATTAACAATGTATAGTCCACATCCACCCACCCAACAGTTTTAAATGTTTAAGTGTCTTCTGCATAGTTTTAAACCCTGCAGATACTCAGATCTTGCTTCAGATGGTAGTTAAAAGTTTTCAGAAACAGTAACAGGAAGATGATGATGATGAGGAGGACAGCCCTGAAGGGGATCTTCTAAAGATGTGTGCAGCTTGCACGGACCACTGCTAAATCTCAACCGCCATTAAAGACGTGTTGTTGTTTTGTTATTAGTTTTTATTACCTTTCATACGTAACACAACACGTACTAAATGTAGACTCTTCTAACTTTAAAACACAAAACCGGAGTGCGGGTCACTCCCACATCGCGTTGCGAAGATGTAGCAATAATTCGAACCATCCGGTGGGAAGGAAACTAACTAAATGGGGTACAATGAGACGCAGAACAGCGACAAACGCAACCAAGGTGTACTGATTATTGAAACGTTAAAAAAAAACCTTCAAATAGGTTTTTTTCCCCGTAATCATATGCCCAAGGATGTACGATGATTTAAATAGCAACTTACCGTTAAACGTGTTTAGACTCACGGAACAAAAATACTTTGTAGGTGGTTCTAGTCGCTCGACATTACAGAACAGATTATCTGGATGGTAACGCCCTTTTAAGTACAGTGAATGCGACGTAATTGCGTCAGCGGCGAGATCTGCCTTCAACAGGAAACTACAGGAAGACTTCCGGGTGTGCGCAAGCTACTGGAATTTCCGGTGATCTTTTCATAATAAAACTTTTGGTCTGTAAACATTTGCTGCAGTTTGATTGTATGATTCCAATCTATTTAGTTTTTAATAAACATCCCTCTATTTGGTCAATTTGAACAAGTATTTAACTTGCATGTACAAAAGTCATACATACTTTATGATTTTATTCTTCACGGTTTCAGGATGTGTCTGAAGATGGACTCATTTGGCGAGTCTGAAGAGCAAATACAGCTCCACAGAATTAAAGAACTTTTGCTCCTTTGGGCATAATCATGCCAAGGAGCAGAACTTTTGGAGAATGAACAAACACTGTTTGCATGGCAATGCATGCAGAAGAAGAAAAAGGACCGTGCAACAGTTATGGGTCATGAATATTACTGCAAAGTACTGTAGTACAAAATACTGTATATAGAACACTTCTTTCATGTCATGACAGGAAGGCAGCGATTAACAAAAGACAGAAACTGCTTTAAATGATCAAAAATCTTTATTTAAAAAAATACTGAAATAGAAGCATGCTATTTTCTAGGTTGACTTTGATTTTTTTGTATTTTATATAATATCAAAGTATCAATAGGAAACTCAAACAAAAAATAAGGCAATGTCACAGTGAGCAGTGTATAATAAATCAGTCAGTAAATTGATACATTTTAAGATCTCTTAAGACAGAGTGAACCTCTGCTGTACATCAGCCCAGACATGCATGACACTTAGCGATGTAATCACATTACATTTTTTACATTACAGGTCATTTGGCTGACGCTTTTATCCAAAGCAACTTACATTACACTTTTAACCCATGGCTTTTACATTTTGCCCAGGGAGCAATTCGGGGTTAGTTGTCTTGCTCAGGGACACTTCGACTTGAGACATGGGGCAGCCGGGACTCACCAACCTTGCAGTTCCCAGCGCACCCGCTCCACCCCCTGCGCCACGACGACCCCTGACAATCACCCCTTGTACGGACTCTCATTAGTGCTCATATCACAAAATAATATGTCAAAATTAATTATGGAACAATTTCAAAAATACGGACTGAGATACAAAACAGTAGCAAGGGAAAAAGCAATTTTGGGGGCGTAAAACCTACAAAAGGGATTAATTGAGGCAAACTTATTCAATCCATTATGTAAACATTGTGAAGTGTATTTGATAGAGCACAACTTTTGTGCAAAATATTTCCAGAGCCATTTATAATTTCACAAGTAAATATAAAAGTGTGTAAACTAACATACAAGTGTTCATTGTATTAGGACACTGGAGGAAACTTAAGCATTAACATGGAAACGAACTTCCATGGATGTATGAGATGGCTGAACTGATATCCTTGAGACAAGTCACATTAGTTTACATTAAGGTGGTAGATTGTGGAGATCAATCACATAGAAAATGACCATAAGTCTCAACAATCCTGGCACTTGGGTCCCACTGAGTTGTATAGAAGTGTCACATTAGAGTGCACTTAAGCTAAGTACATGTACATAGGAAATGCATTACAATATCTGTGTAGTATGGCTTTTGACGATTGGTACAAAGTATTTACAAATCATAGCATGACTCATTAAGTGTATTCAGGGGAAAAGTTGGTCACTGGAGGAGGGTGGGGGGATGTGGGTGTGTTGATGCTGAGAGGTCCGGGAGAGGCGCGTCGCTCTGGGGGGGCTTCAAACGGCTTGTATTGAAGAAGCTCACCACCTGACCTGGGACTTCTGCCAAGACGCTCTGCGCCAGCATTTCTTGAGGACCCTGAAGGGGGAAGCAGCAGAGAAAATCGCATCAAGAGAAAATTGCATCAAGAGAAGCAGCGCGCCGCAGAGATGAGCCACAGGTGGGTGTGTGATCTGATTTGAGTTCAGTTCAGTGAGGAGTTCTGGAGGACACAGGTGAACGCTGCACATCTATTATATTGCGCTGCCAAGCCGTCACCATGGTTACATGTACAACAATGGCACATACTTTAAAAACAGCTCTTTAGTAAGGAAATTTAGCAGTTTTCAGATAACCTGCACATGTTACCAATGAGGTCAGTGACTACACTAGTACATATGTGTAATGTCAAGGTAATTCTTAAGCATTCAAGCTAAAGTTGTACACAAAGGAAATAATGTTTTATTACTATCCACCAGAGAGTTAGATAAGAACATTAATACTGTTTTATAACATCTGAAAACAAACTACCTGGCTGGTTAATTTAGCTTCATACAAACACAGGAAAAAGCATATTAGATTATATGTTGGTTATATCTTGTTTGCTTAATCTGCACTCTTATAACAGCAGAGAGCACAGGAAGTCTCTGCTCAAACCAGCAAGTGGAAAGGATAGGAAAACCTTCTGAAAAAAGGAGGGTGTTGAAATAAACTGGTGTTGAAATAAGCTAACTAGGTTGTAGAGCTGTGCTTCTACTGGAACGCATGAAGCTTTGGATCCAATGTGGGTTAGAAGGAGAAAACTGGGGGTCTGGGGTGCTCCTACATTTCTAGGAAGGACTGTGTTCGATGGGGGGCTTCAGGTGAAATAAATTGAAGAAGGAGGCCACTTGGTCAGGCAACTCTGCCAGTACGCTTTGGGCAAGGACTGCAGTGCCTGCCTGAAATAAAATGTTTGAGACATTCAAATGGATGCATTACTTAAGGATTTTAAAGAAGCTGGTGTGGTGCATGCCTACAAAGACTTTGCTTCACGTAACTCACATTTTGGAACTGCCTGAATGGCACAAACTGCACGATGTCCCGCATGGCGGCTTCGCCTGCAGCGGAGCGTAAAATTCCGTCGTCTCCGTCCAGGAACTCCATGGCGCTGAAGTCGGCCCCCCCTACTCCAACAATGATGATGGACATGGGCAGGCGAGAGGCGTTGACAATGGCGCTGCGTGTCTCATCCATGTCTGTGATCACTCCGTCAGTGATGATCAGCAGAACGTAGTATTGCTGTGAAACATCGTCACACGAGGGAACATAAAAAAAAAAAACATTGTTATTGTGTGGAAACAAAAAGAACGATCGAGATTAAGTCGTCTCTGTTTAGCAGCTCGTTCCAAAACGCAACAACAAACATTTGTGCACAGAAGCCACTGTTATAATATACTCTGAGTTGCAGCAGCTCCCAGCCACTCACCATTGCAGTTTCCTGCTGCATCGCCTGCTTGCCAAAATGGGCTACGTGGTTGATGATTGGGGAAAAGTTTGTGGGGCCGTAAAGCGTCACCTGGGGCAGACACTGACGGTAGGCTTGAACCACACCCTCTATACCTACAAATCACACACACACACACACAGGTGGTCAGAACTCACATCTGCTGGGACATTTTGATTATCGTTTTATATGTACATTTCATATAACATGTCAATTTATTTATTTTGCAGGGACAATGCACACTAATCAACAGTTGAACTGTAAGTGAGTTAGCCAGAGCGGATTTCCATCTGCTGTCTATCCCCGGCCAGATGTCTTTAAAGCAGCCTAAAATAATTTGAAAAAACATGTAGAAATAAATGAAATCTCAGAAGAAAATGTAATTAAAATTCATAGACAAACAAAACATATATCAAATTTCTTTATAAAAGTATACGACAATAGGCTAGAGCAACCATAACACGCTGCAGGCAGAACAAACACTCCTTCACTGGAAGCACATGTCCGGTTTACCACTGAAGCACATAACATCAGAGAGAAACACTGAGCGAGACAAATGCACATATAGGTGAATCAGGCAGGACAGACAGAACATCAATGCTTGCCAACCCGATGGTTGTATTTGAAGGTTCTGTATGCGTTTTCTGCGTGAATGTGTTGCAGCACAGCATTCCACGACTGAGCTGCCTTCACAGAGAATGCAGATCTGCTAAACAAGCTTGACCTGTGTGAAATAACACAATCACCTCTTGAAGGAATCTAGTAAGTCTGCTGCTTTGACAGCTTTGTTCAATCAATTTAAAAGGACAAGAAGAAAATTACTGAAGTGTCAGTGAAAATCTGACACTTTCTACAACAATGTAAAACAGAAACATGCTTAGTAAGTGACTTAAACACTTATTGAGAGTTAATATTTTTGTTGCAGAGGTTACATGTATGATTTGAACATTCCATACCACAAATCCCCTGGAAGATCAAATGATGCCAATCACATGTAATATAGGGTCATAGAGGTCCTCTTGAACAGTAGTTCTATCATACTAAACAGTGGGAGCTCACATCAGCCTGTCTATTATCACCTGCACAGAACGGATCCGATGGGTTGAAGTTGATGGGAAACTCGTGGCAGACCTGCAAAAAAAACGACTATTAATCTGTATCCCACAAAGGCTTCTCTGAGACGACCCGAGTAACTGCGATCCAAGACCAGTTTTTTCATGCATCAGAGTATCAATGAAAACATCCAACATCCAAGTATGTTTTAAATCAAAAAAAAAAAAAAAACAATCACCTGCCATGAAGGAGGGATCTTGGCTCCAAATCCAAAAGCGGGGAACCTCTTATCACTACAGAAAGTCAAATAAAACAGGTGTTCTGGTCATAGTAAAAATAAATATATGGTTTAGACTGGAAGCCTGAGGATGGCATTCTTTCATTCAGACATGGGGGATTTTCACATAAATGTTCCTTACAGCTTTGTTCAGACATGACAGAGTGGTGGGCTCTGACTGCTCCTCTTTGCTATTATATTGAATACATTATTTTCACATTGATTGTATCATTTAACATTATAGAAAGCAAATTCCGTTGCCTGTTTAAAAGAAATAACATTAAACAAACATTGAATATCAGGATACTAATCCAGGACATCTCAATTCTGCTCTCACTTCCTCTTACAATATAAAATAGTGCTGTTCTGAGTATTACTCTAGTTGTACAAGTGTTATAAGTGTTATTAGTGGTATAAGTTGTAACTTTATCTGGCCGGGAAATAATAAGAGTGATCAGATTTGACTAAAATAATGCTTTTGTGTCAAGAGATGATGACTACAGTGATCTTTGAATACACAATATGTGCGTTTGGCTCTAACATTGCTCGTTAAGCATCATGCTGCTGCAGTCTTTAGAATGAATGTGACTACATTAGAAAAACAAAACCTCTCATTAACTGTTGGTGTTTTTGCCCTTCTCACTAATTTGCCATAGGAAACGCAAGGAAATCCTGACAAATGCTGATACGGCGTATAACAATCTATGTACCTGTCATAGTCCTGGATGACATTACCCACTGCCCAGATAGCAGCCAGGTACTCATTGTAGCCTCCAGGGTTGATGTAGTGGAGGGACTGGGGAGTGCGGGGGTCCCCGTTGGAGCCTGTGAAGTCAATGGCGATCTGCCCCGTAGGATGGATTAAAAACAGAGGGTTAAAATTGGATAGCGATTTCACAGATTCATAATAAATTCTTCCTGAAAATATTAATATCCTCCATATACAGTGTAATTTATATAAAAATCTAAATATGAGGAATATTTTTTCATCATTTCCCCAAAGATTCATAAAAAGACGTAGCACTCACGGTGAAGTTAATCTGACAGCCGCCCATTATGTAATCCAGAAATGTATAGTCCTTCACTATCTGAAAATAAACATCGTTGCGAGAAATCACATAACTGCTGCACAAATATAATATAACAACATGAGGTACTGCATCGTGGTGTCAAACATGAATGTAACATTAAACAGTTCGATGTTTGTTATCACAACTATTCGAATGTAAAAATGAATATTCAAATGTAATAAATAAAAAAGCACAACAGCGTCAGCGGCGGCGCGACTGTCTGTTTTGCGGGTGGACGAGCGCCTGACTGTATATTGCGTGAATAAAATAGACTTCATGCACTGGTTTGATCATTTGCCGTTTGGTGCCAAGGAAAAGTTCCATGTTTACCACAGCACAGCTCGCTCGGAGCGTTCAATGTCGGTTCTATACTGTAAAACTTAAATTAATGTTAATAATATTTGTCTCAATCACTGAATGAGGCCTGCCATATTTGGGACAAGAATCCCGACCTTAAATTGGTTGGACAAAACTCGTGATCAGAACTCAGCATTTGTTTATTGTTGTCGTTCATTTAAACCGCGATGCGCTGAGGCAGAGAGAGAGAGAGAGAGAGAGAGAGAGAGAGAGAGAGAGAGTGCATGTCAGCGAAAGGTCTGCGGTCTTGGCCATTAGTTCATTTACTTATTTTTGTGTAGGTGATATGTTGTTAAATTTGTTTAAACCTCAATGAATTACCTATTCAAGTAGTTTTGTCTCGTTGTATTAATTTGTCCTGTTATTGACGCGCCTAATGCGCAACCAGATATTCAAATATATGTTTTTTTAAAGCTAATATTCAAACGTCATTTTTGAGTGATTTTGACAGCCCTAGCATGTACTAAACAAAGAAAGCATTTATTTAAGAAAAAAGTCCATTCAAACCACAGTACCTTGCATTGCTTTACAATGATAACACCGGAGTTCTTGTATCCTTTCTTCTTCTGTTTCTTCTTGCTATTGATGCATTCAAACTCAGCCTGGAAGGAACACACACACACACACAACAAGTTTCGGGAGCATCAGGAAACAAACCCTTTTTTATAAAAGGCCAATACTAAAAAACATGTACACATGTCAGACAGAAAGAATAAGAGACAGAGAGCTCACCGCGTATGTCTGGGATGCCTGCTGTATTTGGGCGAGTGTGGTCGCAAATGATCCGATAAAATCATGAGATCCGCTGTTGTTGTAATCATAACAATCGATCTAGGAAACACAGAAAGTAACGAGAAAAAGAAAATCAATTCTCCAGAGAAACAAAGAAAACGATTAAGTAGCACCAGTGTTTGACACCCAAAGCAGATGGGTGAACCTTCAAATGTCAGACAACACCCTGATATTAAAAGATGTGACAGAAACACACACACACAAGTCTTCTAATAGGCCAAAGGGAAGGGGGAGGGTCCCACTACCTCCTTCAGGGCAAGTCACACAGAGTACAACACCTTCAGTGTTTAGAAAACACCGGCAAAAGATGTCTACACACTCGATGGAGTAACCGGCACAGATTACACAGACTGCGTGATGATTAGCTAACAAAGATAATGGATGACTAAGGAAGGAATCCATCTTAACAGAACGCGTCTACCTTTTAGGAATGTATGCCAAATAGATAACAAATGTGCGGAAGAAAAGTGGGCAACAGCCTTAAACAGAAACATAGTTCATCTTGCATTATATGGCCTAAGGCAGCGATTCCCAAAGTGTGGGCCGCGAAGGTACTGCAGGTGGGCCGCGAGAGGTCATTTACAATAAATAAATAAAGTTTTTTAATTTTCAATTTTTGAAAAGTTTGAAATGAATATAAAAATATTTATGATGCGGCACATTAGTTATGTGAAACATAACGGCTGCGCTTGTCCGCCTGTCGTTGTTCAACAAATGGGGCGCCCTCTTGTAGTATTAAAGTAAATATACCGCATCCGCACTCCAAGCCGCACTTAAAAGCCTTTAATTTCCTCAAAAAAAGCCTTATATATATGGATCAATTGGTTAATCGGTTGATCCATACTGGTTGTACACAGCGCTCATGGCGCTCTGCCAAACATGCCAAAGCTCGGTCTACGACGGCGAGATGCTGAGCGGCGCTCAAGCGCCTGAGATATGGAGCTTGTTTCAGGGCGCGTCGGAGAAACAAAGCTGTCGTTCTCGCCGAGCACAGATTAAAGAGTGAGAGCCCTTTTCTCTACAGTAGCTGAACCATCTTAACGGGGAAAATAAGTTATTCTAAAAGCAGCCGAAGATTTAAGGCGTGGATGGCGAGGGGGGGCGGCGGGAGCGGACGCACCTCGCGGCCTCGATCGGACCCTGAAAGCACCGTCTCCACATTACTGTCAAAAAGAACAACAGCGAGCGCGTAGAAAACTCCTCGCGAGCAACAAAGTTCACGCTTCACAAGCGAGCAAATACCTCGCGGAGACAAACTTTTGCTCGCGGATGTTAGATTTTGGTTAAATTCTTAAGGTCATTTAATCATTATGTTTTGATCAGAGTTGTGATTAAAAGTTTGGGTGGGCCGCGAAAGATTTTCAGATTTCAAATTGGGCCGCGGCATTCTGGAGTTTGGGAACCGCTGGCCTAAGGATTTATAACCTCTATAAGCTTTAAGAATAAAATATATTTACCATCAAATATTTGCTGGAATCAGATTTATGCTGATCAACAGCACATAAATTACATTGTTATATCACATAAAAACTTAATTTGTAAACAGGGAAATTAGTACATTTTGGTGCGTTGTATTTTGTTTATATTTGTTAACTGACAGAAACTACCTGGATATCTTGACTGATAATTTAGCTCTACATATACTTTCTGTTCTTGTTCAATCCATTTTTAATTACTGCCAGCACGCCGATGTCGGATCAAGCTGTTCGACACGGACCACTGGGTGAATGTGGTGATAATGCTCTCATCATTCGACAGGCAAGTTGAGCAATGTGACAAATTCCTGAAATTGTTGACGTACTCCTCTAAGATGGACAGAGATGCGTAAAGGACTGCGACCGGACTAACCGCATCCTTCACGTGAAGCGCACTCACAATGGAGACAGTAAACTCACTTGCACCGTAGACTGGAAGCCATCCCTTCATGTCAAGTGTGCTTTTAACAGGGTTAGAGGATGGAAACAAAAAACAACAGGCTAAAATACATATTCTGAAAAAAAACCCATCTTTCACATTAATCATTGAGACAAGCTGTGAAATACATTTGGTGGATTATTTTCCCCCATTTGTAAGGTCCCCTCTCTAATTCCACAGCCATGTTGCTTCTGCATAGAGAAACAAAACTACTTTGGAAAGTTCCAATTCATTCAGTAAAGCCAGTCCATCTCTGAATGAGAGAGAGACACGTTTCTACATCCCACTAAAAACCCTGCATATTAAGTGAAGTTTCAAAGAAGACTGACAGTAAAAAGAAAAAAGCTTGCATTGTGCCATGAATCCTGTCCTACAGTCAACGCCTGGATACGTGTGTCTGTACCTTTATAGATTTCTCCACGTCACCTCCACAGAGGGACTGCAGCGGGATGCGGAATGGTCTCCACATCGGGTTTAGATTGTTTTTCACCACCTGCATAGATTAAAATCCACTTAGACAGTCGACGTGCATTCATTTCATGAACGTTAAACCGTCAATAATAATTCAGTCATGCGTTCACTTGCCCCGGCACTGTCTAAGGATCCTTGGCCTACGTGAGACACGCATGCTATATGCTTACCTCTGTCCTGTGGGCGAGCTGCCACCCAGTTTCTGCCTGCTTGTAGAATTCCAGGAAAGGGTCGGACTTGCCAAAGAAATCCTGGTAAAAAGTAAGGAAACCATATGCAGCTGTTCAAGACAGTTAAATAAATTCTGTTCACTCTGAGCCAAGCTCGTGCTTGATGAATAAAATATCTAAATATGTCATCATGAATGGAGCTCCAATATCGCAATTCATAATGGCAGGTAAATAAAAAGCAAAGCCTTTTAATCATGTAGGGGGGGAGATACTGATGCATGTATATGCAGGTTGTGCATATTTATCTCTAAGTTCTTCTCAGTTTTGTCCATTCGTTAATTGTTCGTCTTAATGGATGATGGTGGAAGTGGTGAAATTAACTGTGTATTAAGGCTGCATTTTAAATGTATTTGTCAGCCGGCAACTGAGTCACTTTCAAACTACAATCTCCAGCTGCACCACAAGCCCTCTCAGAAATATTAGGAATTATGTTCTATCTGCACAACCAACCACATTAACAGGATTATTAGAATTATTCATTAAAATAATAATAATAAATAATAATGTTCAGGAGCAATCAATACCTTTTTATCCAGTTTTCTACCTGAAACTTCAAATTCCACCACCCTGTTGTCAGTTCTTTCTTCAGCACATATCTACAAAATATGAAACAGAATTGTGTTAGAAATATCTAATAAGTCAAAATACAGTATGCCAAGAAACCTATAACAAACAAAATGACTCACTGTGATGGTTCCTTTCCCTGCAGGTGACTTGTCTTTCATGACAAGTGGTTTTGTTAATTTTTTTGAGGACACAACCTGGATAGAAATACATATTAATCAATGACTTATTATATTGAGCACACAGCCTCTACAGCATTTTCAAATTAAAAAAAGAAGAGTTAATATGTGTTGTAGTTTACGTTCAACCCCAGTGAAACGAAGCATGACGATTATGCGTGTGTGATGAGGACTTTTTGTAGCAGGCACAGTGCGCTGACCTGTCCCAGGGTGCATTCCAGTTCTCCCAGAAAGTCCGCCTCTTGCAGGCTCTGGTTCTCGCTGTCAATGTCGTACACTTCGAACCTGAGTTTCTGCACCATCTCAAAGTAGTAGTCGATGACAAACGGCTTGGAGAACTTGGGATTGAGGCAGTTCTGGATTTTCTCCGTCCGGCCAATCTAACGCAGATACGTGTGTCAGAGACTACTTGCAAAGGCAGTTGTTTTATCTGCATAAAATGAGGAGGAATTTGGGCTGTTTGCAATTCTTACCTCGCACCAGTGAGGTCCCGAGCTGTTCATGAGAAGCACGCACAGAGGGTCGGACTTTGAGAAGGTATCCATGTCGAGCAGATTCTCACAGGACACGCTCAGCGCCACCTTGGTCACGCAGTCGGTGACCTTTGGACCCGAGGATGCAACTGCTGCCATCACAGCCTGGAGGACACACACTCGCACAAACTGAACAGGGACACACAGTTAAACAGAAAGGGAACATTTCAATATACTGATCTTATACCGAGCAGCGAGCCATTTGTATGTTGTTCATCAGACTTTAATATTGTTTATTTTGCAGGTTACGAGTTTAACGAAACTAAACTTACTCAATGTAGTTTTTCACAGTTTGGCAATCGACACGCCCAGAATATGTGGAGCCTATAAAAAGAACCGAGTAAACATGCAACACTTGCTATAAACGTGTTTATAAACAGTTAATAGAAATGTACAGAGTCGCGAAGACGTAACTTAATACGTAAGCGTTAATGGAGAACTAACTAAACGCGCCAATTGCGTCTCAGCTGTAGATTCCGTGACACGAACATCGGCATCACACCAGTCTGTCAACGTTAACGTTCAGTATAAACGTCAGCACACAAAGCCCTTTTCTAACGTCACGGTTCAACTTCAAGGCAAAAAAACACCATATCGTCAGAAAAAGGGTTGACTTTATTCGTCGTACCTGGTTAGGCGTGTGGTTCGCTGTTAGCTGGCTGTTAGCTGCTGGCAGATGGAAATGACAGGCAGGAGCGCTGCGTGATGACGCTGCGGTGGGCGTGTCCCACTTCCAGGGGATCCGTCTGAAGCGCTGCACCCCCCGTCAATCAGTTTAAACAGGATGTGGTAAAGCTGCTCGACCACTCGGCTAAACGCATCAGATCATTCGGTTTGTACAATGGTCACAAACACACCAACGGCAGTAAATATCAAAAAAATGATATACAAACTCTGTATTAATGACCCACAAAGGTGGATAAATCTTACGTTGGGATACTTTGTTACACAGTAGTAGAGGCATGTTTATTAAATATTATTATGCAAGGGGTGCTTTTCCAGACAGCTGCATCTAGTTAGAAAATTAAATACACCTAAATATAAATTACTGGACTGTGATGTGACGTATTATGACCAGCAATAGTAAGATATTTCCGTCATCATAACTATGTCACGGTCCCAGAAGACGCAACTTCCTGTAGCAATAGTGTAGCAATAGTTCAGTGTTTTGTCATGAACATAAATCAGCTGATAACACCAATGAAAGTAAAAACGAAAAGATTCATTTGCCAACAAACTATTTTCACAGTAGGGGGCAGCAGATGTTTGTTTATCTATCTGGTCTCCAACATTGCAATAGTTCCAGAGAAAAGCTCAAACTTATGTTAACTTTAAGTATTAAATTAAAGATCACGCTCAGCATGATAAACATAGATGAATTCAACAATGCTTGCATGTACCGATCCAACCAGGACTGCAAGAATAGTGTTAAAATAGTGTTATGGAGGGGACACAACGCTTAACAATCAGTTAAATTATGAGTCCACTACTTTCTCATATAATTGGTGGTTGAGACTCAAAAGGTCTTATTTAGAGTTCGCACAAGATAGCAGAGAAGAGGTAATACATGAAAAATAAATAAAATAATGGCATACATCAACACTGCAATACCACCCTCTTAAGTAGTATATTTGTAATGTTTGTAATGCATGCACTATGCAAGCTATCATGTATCTTTAGAAACAGAAGATATTCTTCTTTAACTTTAAATCAAGTAAAATCATATTTGCTTGTCTGCGTTACCCACATTAATTTATTCCATCTCGAAAATGCAGAAGGGTTAGGGTTAGTGAAGATGAGGTCATCGGGGTACTTTAACCCGAATGTCTATGACGGGTCAGATTCACGGAGTATATTTGGGGGTTTCAGCTTGTAAGAATTGAAGAAGGAAGCCACTTGATCAGGCAGCTCCGCCAGGACGCTCTGGGCAAGGGACGTGTGGTTTCCCTGCAACGGCAACGTAACAAGAATAAAAGGTAGCCTCAGCCACATGTAGGACGGAGCTCCATAACATTAACGTGCACAGGTATCTGTGCTGTTGACAGCTCATGCTCATAAATGACATCAAAAGAAGGCTGTTGAGAAAGCAGGTCGGTGGTGCATTATTGCGAATAATAATTAGCAGGGAGGGGCAGTAGGAACTACTGTCAGGAACAGAAGCAATATAAAACTGAATTGTGCAATGTGGGATCTTAACTATATTACATTTTTTGTGAATCAACAGCCACTATACAAAGTATAGTTGGTCAAGAAATATTAAAGTTCAATATTATTAGTTTCTAAACATCAACAACAACAACTCTCAACATGGAAAAAATCAGAGCTTGCAGCTACCAGCGCTAAAAATCAAGGCGGAGCCAGAGGGTGGGTGCTGCGCCATGGCGACTACATGGTGCGCGCAGACCCACATGCAAAAAAATCCCAAATATGTACAAACAATAACTCTCTGTCGCTCTGTCTTGGCAGTGCGAAGGAAATGGCTGCTGCTTACTTGAAAATCTCTGAAGGGCACAAACTGGACGATGTCTCTGGAGGCGACGTCCCCCCTGGGCGAGGACAGCAGTTCGTCATCACTGTCAAGGAACTCCATCTCGCTGAAGTCCGCCCCTCCCACACCCACGATAATGATAGACATGGGCAAGCGAGAGGCCTCCACGATAGCAGTGCATGTCTGGTCCATGTCTGTGATCACACCGTCTGTGATGATGAGCAGCACAAAGTATTGCTGCAGATGAACAGAGCAAAATAAAAAGCCAGATGTTAAGTTTACAACTGTTAAGTATCAGACTATTGTTTTTTTCCCTGTTTTTTGATTAATAAAGTACATTATTCAATTTACGTTTGTTTGGATTGTGTGGTTCTAATGGGAGATTTGTGTAACCAACTGTGCATATTTTTACTTTTTATGAATCAGATTTGACAACTCAAATGAAGTTGGAGAAAATTTGGGAAACTTTGGAAATAACATGACATTTGAAGGTATCGAAGTATCAAAAAGTGAAATATGTTAGAACAACAGAAATTAAATGAAAAAGGCTCTAGTATTAATAAAAGAAAGCCAAAGCAGTAAAACATTAGTTATTACCTATTCATTGTTGAGTTATTGTTTTCTCTATCAGCCCGTCTTGTGCTCATAACTGAATTCAACACCTGTTTAGTTGGGAGGGTCCTGAGATCCGTTTACTTACTGAGGCCATATTCTGGCGAAGAGCTTGTCTGGCAAAGCAGGCTACGTGGTTGATAATCGGAGAGAAGTTGGTGGGGCCCCAGAGCTTCAACCGGGGGAGACACTGCTGGTAGGCGTGCACCACACCCTCTATTCCTGCAAAGCACTGCTGCATTAGTGAACATCTTATACAAACAAAAGACTTGACATCCTGTGACATAGCCTGACTTACCCGCGCAGAAGGGGTTTGCTGGATTGAAATTGATAGGAAATTCATGGGAAACCTGTAAGAATGGATTAGAGAAAACAAAAAACAGCTTTACAATATAGCCAATGAAAAAAGAAAACACATTATTCCTCAATGTCTAGCATCTCGTGGGTGTTATTAAAGGGTAAAAAACTAAAAGTTGTTCATGAGAATCGCCTTCTGCTAATGACTATGATGACTTCTAGAATATTTTAATACCTGCGAGGTGGAAGGCAGCTGGGCTCCAAAACCAAAGACAGGAAACATCTTGGTACTACAAAAAAAACACAGGTATTGCTATAATAGTAACGCACTACCGCATCCGCTAGAAAAAAGCTGTAAAACTGAAGCCCTGTGGACTCTGAGTGTCGTTGGCAAGGAAACCTAATCCTATGAAAGTTTGAAAATGTCAGAAAACAACCAGTTTGTATCCGGCTGGCTGAAACGCTCGCTTGGATCAGCCTCCACCTCCAAACCCGTCAGACAATTAAAGGGGAAGGATTATGTGGGATGAAGGGGAGTTTGCGTCCACCTGTCATAGTCCTGGATGACATTGCCCACTGTCCAGATGGCAGACAGGTACTCATTGTAGCCCTCAGGGTTGATGTAGTGGAGGGACTGGGGGGAGCTGGGGTCCCCGTTAGAGCCTGTGAAGTCAATGGCAATCTGGCCAGAGTCCGGAAGAGGATAACAAGATGTGAGGATCTGCTCAGTGACCAGACCAGAGTATGTACATATATATGTGCTGAGATTTTGCAATAAGACTGCACAGTCATTCAGTATGTGAATATTGTAAATATCAATAAAAATGATAACACCTTGTGTCTGAAACCTCCAAACTCACAGTGAAGTTGATTTGACAACCACCCATAATATAATCCAGGAAGGTGTACTCCTTCACCACCTGAAAAGGTCAACAATATGTTAACTGCAATAAAGACTGTAGTAAAAAATGTATTGGAAACCAATTTAAAGTTTCTTCATCACCTGGCAGTTCTTAATGCAAATGACTCCAGAGTTTTTATAGTTTTTCTTTTTCAGCTTTTTTGGGGCGATGCACTCAAATTCCACCTGCAAGTGCAATTCATGCCAGTTGAAATTGGTAGAACAAAAAATGGTAGAACACACACACACACACACACACACACACACACACACACACACACACACACACACACACACAGCCTCACAGGGGAAACGTGTGTTCCCATTTGCATCTCCGCCAGCGTGGCTTTAAAGCTGCCAATAAGGTCATGAGCGCCGCTCACACGGTTGTCATAGCAGTCGACCTGGAGACCAACAGAGAGATTTTCTTTAAGAGGTGACACGTAAGAACTTAAGAGACGGACACTAACTAAGCATGAGACAAATAAATGAAAGTTGATGTGAATTTCTGAAGTTGTTAGTGACATTTCTTTTGGTGAATAAACTTTTTTAAATGGAATGCAGTGAGCTTGACTTTTTGGACTACTCAGGTTGAAGTTCCTCTGATCGGAGGTATGATATAAACATATTTAAAACATAAATGTATCACTATTTGGGTTTGCAAAGAAGTGTCACATTTCTGGGTTTTAACCTACAATCAGTTACCAAAGACACATCCCACATGCTCACATATAATCAATCACATTTAACTCCTAGTTACAAATGGAAATCCAGTAAATGCAATGGAAGTAACTCAATAGAGCAAAAAGAACGGAGCAAAAGTGCAGACCTTCAGATGGGGGCGTCACGAATGGTGCGTACACACACACACACGCCGCTTATCCAGCTGGAGATGCACCATGTTTTAAGTTTGGGAGCATTCCAAAATGAACAGAATATGCAATTACAAAACGAACCATTAGTTAGTTAGCGCAGCACGGTGAATCCAGCTAAGCCAAAAGCGTTTCACAGAAGAACTCGTTGGACAATTAAGGGAGGAGGTTGTGTTAATGGGCTTCATTTTGCAGGGGTTATTAACTGGGAAAAGTAATTTAAATTTTAAAAAACTGAATTACCTTTATAGGTCTCTCCACTTCTCCTCCGCAGAGAGATCGCAAAGAGACGCGGAACGGCCTCCACACTGGGTTTACGTTGTTGTTTACCACCTACCCAACGAGCCACAGGTCAATGGCGACTCGGAGCTCGCAGAGGAATGACTTTCTGGTGAACACGCTTACCTCGGTCCTGTGAGCCAGCTGCCATCCAGTCTCCGTCTGCTTGTAGAGTTCCAGGAAAGGATCGGACCACCACAAAAACTAAACATTCATGTTCAAATGAGATTTAGCGCTACGTCAGGGCAGTTGATACAATGAAGATATCAGACATAACTATTCAAAATGAACTGGATCACCTTCTTGTCCAGACTGCGGCCTGACACCTCAAAGTTGGCCACTCTGCTGTCGGTTATCTCTTCGGCACATATCTATTTTGAAAAGATTTTTTTTTTAAACTATTAAACTACTAAAGGTTTTCGGATTTTCTACTTTGGACAGTCATGCATAAGAATTGTTTGGTCTTTTTAAACCCATGAATTCACATCAGCAGGTTAGTGTTTTACGACCAAACTGTGTCCCCTTATTTATTTATATTATACCTAAGAGAGAGAAGCAATAAATCCCTTTAAGCAACCTCAGATCCTTGTTATCTCTTATGATCACATCCCAAGATACATCCCAGTATCTCCTAGTGCTATAATTTACAAGTTTAGTTATGTATAACATTAAAAAAAACAATTACCTTTGGTATTGTAAATAGGGTTTATCTTTTCACACAGGCATGTTGCAGCCATTCTGTCCAGCGTGTCAGCAAAGAGAAGGGCAGCTCCGGCATAGCCTACCATATGCTTTCAAAATGAGAACGGAGTCCACTCACTGTGATGGTCCCACGACCTGCAGGCCGCTTGTCCTTCAGCAATAGAGATCGGGTCATCTGCCTGTTAGAAACGATCTGGACACAAAGTACGAGCAGAGTCACAGAACTATGAAACTACTATACTACTACTAATAGTATAACTATACTACTACTAACTACTTAGGCAAACGTTTTCTTATAAAAATGCTCACCTGTCCCAGCGTGCATTCAAGCTCCCCCAGGAAATCGTCATCCCCCAGGTCATGGGTGTCATTGTCAATATCATACACGCAGAACTTCATCTTCTGCACCGTCTCGAAATAGTAATCGACCACAAACTTCTTGGAAAACTTTGGATTCAGGCAGTTCAAGATCATCTCTGTGCGTCCAAACTGATGCACGAAGAAAAACAACGTACTTATAATCGACTGTGCTTAAACAGAAGCTAAATGGATACTTTGAAATATATGACAGTGAACATAATCAACTTTCGTGGAAACTGACAACACATACGTATGTATTAAGGTAAATATTGTTAAATGTAAAGGTTTATACAAATTGAGTTGTATTACATCAATTACATCGATAGCATGTGACATCCTCATACACACCTCATACCAGTGGGAGCCTGACGTGTTAATGTACAAGGCGCACAGAGGGTCAGACTTAGAAAAGACGTCCATGTCCATGAGGTTCTCACAGGAGATGGTCAGCTCCACCTTGGTGGACCAATGGGTGGCCGCTGGCAACGGGGCCCCACCTGAGGCCATTTCTACCGGTTGTGCTACGATGATAACCACAGGTAATTAGAAGGACTAAGTGGGTTTACTTTCTAGTTCTAGTCCTCTACATACCAGAGTAAAGTCGTAAAATTGAAGGGGGGCACTCATCAAAAACGACCGCTGAAAAAACAACAACCGTTAGCTCCCGTTAGTCAGACGCTTATAACGTAGCGTAAAAACATGTAGCAAGAATAAAGACAACACTTAAAACAACATATATAACCTATAATAATATAATGAATAATATAATATAATGAAAAGGCTGAATCTATAGGACATGCATGCAGTGGCTGTAGTGGGTGTGGCGATGCCTCATGCACCACGTTAAATGCCAACCTCAAGCCGTAGTTTCACATCGTATTTCCTCATACCAGTTGAAACCTGAAGCTCACGTATTTACCTGTTTAGTTGTTGAAAAACCTCCACATTTTCCTGTTTTTGGTGACCTGTGGTCACACGGTCACACACGTATACGTTTTTATTTGACGTTAACAGCTGGGCGACCTGGGAGCGGAGGGGCGGGGCCTATTGTCAGCAGGCCAAGTTAACTTGTTTTGTAACGTTAAATAACAACGTTAAAGGTGAAGTTAGTTCCTAAAATCGTCAAACACGCAACGAAAACGTATTTTAATATATTCGATTATACTGTCAACAAGATCAAATCGTTGATGTGAAACTGTTGAATACACTCACCATGGTACAATTCGGGACGGAACTCTCGGGAGCTGTAGTTGTTTCTTACCGGTTCACATACATGGGGAACTGAATGTCCCGAGATGCATTCAAGAAATACATTTTCTTAGCAATAATGTACTGCCAATAACTTGAAATACAGTGGACGCGAACATCTATGCTATCCTGTGTTATGTCCGTCTAGTCTAGATATCATGTATTTATCGTGTTATTTCTGTGTTACCCTCAAACTGACACTGATATCAAATTCATATGTAGCACACAAATTGATTATATAGCACTTTTCACAGACAAGTGACAGGCGAAAATGATTTACGGTGTCTCTGTGCGTATATATGTTTGTATTTGTGTGTGTGTGTGTGTGTGTGTGTGTGTGTGTGTGTGTGTGTGTGTGTGTGTGTGTGTGTGTGTGTGTGTGTGTGGTGGGGGCGGGCGGTAACAATTTAACAACATATGTGATACTTAACAAAATCTATGAGCTAGTGTTTGTGAAGAGACGTATTGCTCTTTTGCAACCTTTTTCTATGTGTGCTCTTGAACGTCTCCTGATTGTATTTGTGGACCAACCTGCACGTTTGCTAGTTGATTGACGCTAGTAGTTTCTGATCATTGAGCGCCTGGGCTTTGACGCAATGTTTGCAACCGTGCTGAGAAGATGCGTGAGCGGAAAGTTACTGTCGGCACCTGCCGCAAAACTTGTCAGAGCCAGAGGGACAAGCAACTACTCCACAACTTTAAGAAGGACGGCCGCTGCTCTCACTGTAAATAACTCACGGTTGCACCTTATGATTGGAGTGTTTTGTGTGCTCATCTAGGTGAAAGGGCAGATTTCAACTGTCAGAGATGCTGCGCCGATCTGCGGCTTCGTATCAGGAAATGTCAACGCTGTCTACGTGTTTCGGTTTTGTGTGTACAATTGACAAAAAAAATGAATTTAATTGAAGTTCGAGTGATATTAGTCCAATTCAAACTGTGGCCCAGTGCGATGACCTAACGTTAATATTGACACACTGCTTCTCTGGTAGTTCCGCTTCAGCTGACACGGATCACTGCATGCGAACATGCATCAGCAGATGCATGTCATGTCATTGTCATGTCCCTCTGCCTCTTGTCCACAGAGCGGGCGAGCTGCGCTCCTCCTGGGCCTCCCCGCACTGTCCTGCCTGACCTTTGAAGCTTATCACCGAGTGCAGAGTTCAACCGTGCTCTACGCTTTAGAGAAAGGTGCTTGCAAAAACTGACTGGTAGAATAAAACAAGGGTGTTCCTTTTCAGGAAACTGGTGTGGAATTCCAAAATCCTATTCAAATTCAAAGTGTCTTGAGTTCTTTTTTGCATTAGGACTTTTGGTACAGCCGGCGGAGTGGAAGTTGGGTGAACTTTGTGTTGCGTTTTGTGTCCGTGCAGAGGAGGTTCTGGAGCAGGCTGACTACCTGTACAGCTGTGCAGAGACGGAGAAGCTGTACCAGCTGCTGCTGCAGTACAAGGACAGGTGAGGAGAACGCTCCGTCTCTCACATTTTCTCTCCCTGCCTTGTGTCTTTTTGTATATTGCTGACCAGAGAGCCGATCCCCCCCCTCCCCCAGTGACAATGCAGAGTTTCTGTGGAGGCTGGCTCGGGCGTCTCGCGACCTGTCCGTCCAGCCCAACGTGGAGGCCGGACGGAAGAAGCAGCTGATGTTTGACGCTTTTGAATATGCAAAGAAGGCCCTGGACAAAGATGACAAGTGTTTCGCTGCACACAAAGTAAGTAAGAGATGGAAGGGAAAAAAAGTCCCCTTTTGAACAAATCATCATCCCTCCTGGAACTATTCTATTAACAAACGACAAATCAAACTTTTTAGCATAGTTTAACGGCCTAATAAATGAATATACACCAAGCATGAATAAAAAATGAAATCTCCTGCAAATAACAAACGCAGCTATCTAAGCACAACACGGGACATGTTCACGAATTTGATAGCACATCCGTGGTTGTTGAATATTCAACACAGGAAAACAAACTCCACTTTGCATGCACTTTTTAATGAAGATGTGATGAAACCGGAGCTATACATAGATATTGAGCTCTGATTGGACCAAACTCTCCTAACTCAGTGGTACGCAGTGTGTCTCAGCGACGTCGGGGATTACGAGGGAATCAAGACGAAAATCGGAAATTCCTACATCATCAGGGAACATCTAGAGGTGAGAGGACATGTCATGCTACCATTTGTGTCACAATTACATTGTGAAATGAGTGAAAGATGTTGCTTTTCCCCCCCAGAGAGCTATTGAACTCAATCCCAAAGATGCCACTTCCTTATTTATTTTGGGTTACTGGTGAGTCATCTTCCTTCTTTCTTACTGTACCAAACATTGGGACTTCCATTTGGTTCCTATATAGCTGCTTCCTAGTTTAGTACACATTACAGTCACACATGAATACACACTCGGGCCGTCCGGGTCTGTTGCATTCGTCCATGACTGTAGAAGCTAGAGGAGGAGAAGTTGCAAGCTGTTTGATTTATTTTTTTTGTCGTGGATGGACGCAGTGGTGAGTGTGCAGACTCCTCACAGCAGAAAGAAAATAAATCACATGCCTGCAGAATTAATTCATTTAAAGATGCAAATATGTACCTTAATGACTGCCAACAAAAAGATCTGCCTGTAATTCTTGAACATTTTTACCTCTTTAGGGTCTTTTTGATCGGGAGGAAGTTGTTGCCATCTGCGTACCATCTCGTAATAATTGCACATTGCAGCAACGTTAAAAAAAGAAGAATGGGGCTGTGGTTGCATTGTCCGAGATGTCCCCATTGTGCCCGATGATTCTGTACATTAGAGCCTTGAGTAGGCTTCAGCATTGTCTCTCTCTCTCTCTCTCTCGCTCTCTCTCTCACAGGTGCTTTTCCTTTGCTGAGCTGCCTTGGTACCAACGCAAAGTGGCGGCGGTCATTTTTTCTTCACCACCCAACTCCACGTACGAGGAGGTGATGGCTGCTCTGTCTTTCAGCGCTCATCCTTTGTTTTATAACTAACTGCACAGCGGCTGGTAATTAACCGCTGTGTCACATTTTGGTATTTTGCGAGAGATGAGCATCTTCAATTTGGATGGTCCTGTTTTTCTGCCCCTTCTTTTCAGGCTTTGGAGTTCTTCCTGAAAGCCGAAGAAGGTAAAATACTAAAAGACCCAGCGGAATGTACACATCGAACAGCTGATCTCTTGTTGGCTGCAGCTCACAATTCTCAGATGAACAGAAAGCGCTTTGCTTGAAAATTATTTCTTTAAAGGCTTAAAAGACATTCGACTAACAGCAAATTCTCTGTGTCAGCTGATCCAAACTTCTACAGTAAAAATCTGCTGATGCTCGGGAAGACGTACCTGGGGATGAAAGACCGAGAGAGAGCGCTGCACTATCTAACCAAAGCAAAAGAATACCCCGCCCACACACAGGAGGAGAAGGAGGTACGCCTCCCTCTGAATCACCTGCATGGATCGTATGTGCTGATGTCATCACTTACAGTTTGTGTGTTCCCTTTGGCAGGTCCACAAAGAAGCCCTTGACTTCCTGAAGAAACTAGGATGAACCTGTGGTTGCCACGTAGTGGATTTTGCCTTTTTGGAGGCTGTTAATTTCCCCAAAATGTTATTCTGATTCTGTAAATTATTAATTCAGCGGCACCATGTTAAGTCATTCAGCTTTTAAGCAAAAACTGGAACCTGCAAAGTTTGACGTTCAAGTAATGTGATGTACATGCTGCCTGCGTCTCTTCATGCCTCATTTCCACTGACTTCTCTGACATCCAGCTCAAAGAGGAGCACACGCTATTGGCTGGAGTGAATGTTCCAAAAATACGAGCGTGGTCTTTTGATTTCCTCTGAAAATGGATGAGAAGTGGCCAGGAGCAATGCTGGGCCGTTACGCATGAAGCAGCTGCACCAGTTGTTTGGAAAAGCTGCATGTTATCTATCTATATATATATAAATATATATATATTGAATTCAAACACTCTGCTGTGTTCTGTTTTGTCGGCTCTATTCAAGTTTACGCTTCATCAGTTTTTTTACATCAAATGATGAATAATATAAACATTAAAAGGTGGTTGCTGATTTTTCACAAACGTATAGTGGATGGGATTAAGAGATTATTTATTTTCCACGACATTAGTCCTTTGTTAGGTGATTTCAGGCCTCATAGAAAATTCTATTAGTTTAAATTCATTAAGATCTATTGATATTGACCAAGATTGTCAGATATATTTGTGAGATTGATTTGTAGTAAATCCCGGTCCGGACTCAGTCTCCCCCGATCAGCTGTCACCTCCCTGGAGACATGCCACGTACCAGCCTGCTTCAAGGCCTCCCCCATCATCCCTGTTCCCAAGAAGCCCAGGATCACAGGACTCAATGACTACAGGCCCGTCACCCTGACCCCTGTAGTCATGAAGTCTTTTGAACGGCTAGTCCTGATCCACCTGAAGTCCCTCACCGACCCCCTCCTGGACCCCCTGCAGTTCGCCTACAGAGCCAACAGGTCTGTGGACGATGCTGTCAACATGGCCCTCCACTACATCCTCCAGCATCTGGACTCCCCAGGAACCTACGCCAGGATCCTGTTTGTGGACTTCAGCTCTGCTTTCAACACCATCATTCCGTCAAGCTCCTGAAGTTTGCGGATGACACCACCCTCATTGGACTGATCTCTGGTGGGGATGAGACCGCCTACAGGTGGGAGTCTGACCATCTGGTGTCGTGGTGCAGTCAGAACCACCTGGAGCTCAACTGTGGAGATGGTTGTGGATTTCAGGAGGAACAGAGCCCCACCCTCCATTACCCTGTGTGACTCCCCCGTCACCACTGTGGACTCCTTCCGTTTTCTGGGCTCCATCATCACCAAGAAGCTCCATCACCATGAAGGCTCAGCAGAGGTTGTTCTTCATGAGGCAGAGCCCGGGTCCCCCACTGACCGACTCTTGACAGGGACGTCACTCCCTTCACATACACGTCACTTGTCTCTCACAACACAGTTGTGTAGAGTATGGTTATCTGTTCGCTGGTGCTCTTTATTTTTAAGTTAATTTCCTCTTGAACTATGTTGTCTTACTGTCTGATGTTATGCACCAACCACCAAGTCAAGTTCCTTTTATGTGACATTTTGGTAATAAATGCTCCTGAGGCCTCTCATCCCCCAATAATCACACCACAAAAGAAAGAAAGCGTGCTCACGGAAGGGTGTTTATCCACTTATTTATACCTCATAAATCCATCTCTTACGATGGCTGAAAGCAGATTAAAAATGAATCTTCTATACACATCGTCTCCAGTATAGGGGCAGTCTGTACAGTGTAGTTGGTGTTTACAGTGTATCTACACGCGATATGTTACAGTGGCATGCGTTTCGTGTGGCCTAAGCCGCGGCCGGCAGTGACAACCATCATAAAGTGTTTGACAACATCAGGAACCAGACGAACCGCGACAAAGGCCACCCGAAACATCCCCTTGATTTCTCATAACAAAAAGGCATCACAGATTTCCATCAATTGAGCAGTGGTTGTGTGTAATTAATTATAATATTTAAGTACTTTATTTACTCATCTTTATACAATGAATATTCACATACACAATTGATTTTTGCTTTGATTACAGGTTTCTGTTCAAACGGAAGCACAAAGTTATGCAGTGTTGCCTCCCCTCAGAAGTAGTCTCCTTTTGCTGCAGTTGTTTTCCTTCATACTGCATGAATGAATGTTATATACATGACTGAGAAGAAGAAAAGTCTGAAGCACCTTGCCGCCGTTTGCAGTGGTGTGAAAACAGAAAAAGACATGACGCCAGAGTGGCCGAGGAGAATGGCCTGCGTTTAGACCACCGGCCGAAAGAATAAGCACCGGAGTTCAGAAACAAAACACGTTTCCCCTGAAGCATTCAAACGGAAAAGAAAGGACGAGGGGGCAAAATCAAAAACGCACAACAGGTAGCACTGTGGCATGCTGGGAGGAGTTTCCACGCGCTATTTGGTCTGCGGCACTTAAGTGGCTCGTTTACTCATCATAGTCATCATTAAACTGAGCCTCTCTTACCTCGGCACTAAACCTGAGAATGAGATCGAAGGTGGCGTGAATTCAACGGAGTGATGACGGCCTTTTCTCTTCGTCATACTGTTGACTGCACAGCACATTGGGCTTTTTTCTAACAATATATCGCACAGGTTAATGACGCAGTTAATACTTTCAAAAGCCCAAAGCTTCTTGTGGACCGATCAACCCTCAACGCGTTTAATTAATGCTCATTTATTCGGACAATTTCCCCTCCACTGCCCACATGCAAAACTTATATATATGTAAATATATGTGGCTTTCAAGACATTGACATTTGATACGCTTTAATTTAGTCCAGAGCATGTATATGAACACCGACCAAAAATTCATAAAAAAAAAAAAAAAACATGGAACTTTGATGGACTGTGTATTGGTGGGCTGCACTGCCCCCCCCCCCCCACCCCCCACACACACACACACACATATACACACACACACACACACACACACACACACACACACACACACACACACACACACACACACACACACACACACACACACACACACGAATTGGTCGTCTTTTTTCCTAACTCTTGCAAGTATCCACTGGGGGTCAGGATTGGGCTGTATCATTATTTCATCCTTTTGGATGACAATGGTTAAACAGCGTCACTGCTTAAATAAGCGTGTTTAGTAGTGTGAGTGGTCGGGGGGTGGGGGGGTCACAGCAGTCTCCAGAGGCAGCCATGCAAACACGCAAACATTGCAACAATTAATAGGAGTCCAACGAGGAAAAAAGAAAAATGTATTCAGGCACCAAACACCAAAACTACTCTTGCCATTTAGTAGCTCTATAGAACTAGAGCCTTAAAAGAAGATTGCGCTTCAACTATAAAATCCTCTCAAACACGTTCAGTCTTTCAAAAAGCCAGTCAGCATTGGGAAGGACATTAAAAAAATATCCATGATTTCTGTTTTAAACATAAACGCTGAGATGCTTGCATATTTCATGATGGGGTATCATATTAGTTAAGGGCTGGGGAGCAGGACTGCGGCAAAACTGATGCTGCAAATAAGGATTTGGTTTAAAATATAGCTTATATACATTGGTGGGTATCTTGTGCAATTCGTTTGTTTGTTTGTTTGTTTGTTTAACTTGGCTGAATGAACAGCGATGGGGGAGGGAGAGAAATACAAGAGGACTCCTCCGTTTATTCTTGGCCAAATCCTTCCGTTTCCTCAATGGCAAAGAGCAGCTTCTCTTTCAGCTGATCGAAACTCTTGTAAGGAGGCAAATCCAGACGGTTGAAACTAAAAAAAAAAAAAAGGACAAAAGATCAGTGTAAAGACTTGAGTGTAGTAAACATTGTTCCCATACACCATGTTATGTTTATTTATAGAACATTTTCTTTAAAAGATAATAAAGTAGCTTCTCAATTTGTTTGCAATATATCTGAGAATTTTGAAAAGCACTATATAAATAAAATGTATTATTATTATCATTAATATCCAGAAGTGACCGCAGAATTTTGAGTGTGACTACATATTAACTTGTTGTTTCATGTTTACAGCTTTCTAAGCAGATTACAGCGGCTTTGATGCAGTTGATGCAGGCGTTTTGGTTTGAGTAAAGTTGAAACATCACGCAAGTTAACGATGCAGCACAATGAACTTAAAATGCGTGAGTGCTGCACAGAACAACATGAGGTCAGAAACTCTGGTTCATGGGATTCGTTCCTCCCCTCACTCGGAGGCAGAGCCCTCCACTCACCACGTGTGGCTCCGAGGAAGCCATGTGTCCTTCCCCACCTTCTCAATGCAGAACTTCTGGGGCCCATTACTTCCTACAATACAAAAAAGCGATAAAGGACTGAGCGGAAAACCAATGACACATGCGTAGTATGCGTCCATGGCTCTTGGTGTCTCTTGACTTATAGCATAGAAGGTGTTACTCGCTGTGTATGTGTGTGCCTCACTGACCCATGAGCTCAGCAAAGCCCCCCAGAGGAAGCCTGCACGTTCCCGTGACAAACTGCATGAGCCGCAGTCGCACTTCGTTGTCCACTTCCTTCACCAGCTTCAAGGGAGAAGATTACGGCACACATGAGCACAGAAACGCACAATAAACACACACGCAAGAAATGTCATCGGTGAGAGTTGCCATAAATGTCACCTTGGACACCGGCTGAATTCCTGCAATGTCACAAGATCACGTGAGAATGCTTCTCTTCAGACTTTAGGTATTGAGTTTATGTCTCATGCGCCTAGAGCACGGGTCGAATCCGCATTGTGGGCGGAGCAAAGACACCAACGGAAATGGGGTTTTCACTCTTCGCAGAGGCAAGCATTCCTTCAAGTTCAAGTATTCGTTTGACAAACAGCCACCCTCTTCCCAAAGGTGTCCGATGACCACTTCTCAGATTGTTTTGTGTAACGCAAAGAATGCAATGTGCAACGGCCCCTGGAAACATGGAATAATCTGCTTCCTTTCCGATACAAACAGAGGGGCAGAGAATACAGACACATGGTCTGTGTGTGTTTGTGTTGGACTGTACCTGCCAGAACCAGATGATCTGTTTGCTGTTCCTTGTGTAATGGCGGTACACAGTGTTCCTCTGCCAGTCCTGAAGGTCTACCTCCTGCATTCCACAGAGCATTACCTGTGACACACACACACACACACACACACACACACACACACACACACACACACACACACACACACACACACACACACACACACACACACACACACACACACACACACACACACACACACACACACACACACACACAAAGTTAACAGAATTACAGAGAGTTCTCACACAAAAGGAGGACTTTTCTCCACACATCATGTAATCTTATTAAATGAATATTTAAAGCTCTTGAGAGTTGGGGAGGCTATTGGAAACACACAAGAGGCACATGACACCCTTCAGGTCATGAACAGCCCCTGATAGGAGGGA